TAATCTGGTCTTTCTTCCAATGTCACCACTGTCACTGAGTCCATCCATGTAGCTGCTTATCATCCTCTTTTTTCTTTCTGACTCTCTTTCCTTCCACCTTTCCCAGCATTAAAGCCTTTCCTAGAGAGCTCGGTCTTCACATAATGTACCCAAAGTATGAAAATTTGAGTCATTTGTTTCTTCAGCGATGACTCCAGGTTGATTGTTTGCATTTATTTGTTTTCTTGGCTGTGTTATGCAGCATATGAAAAGGAGCATTTCCAGTTCATAGGATGCATAAAAAATCCACTGGATACACACTGTATGTTGTTTATCCTGCATTTAGAGTACTGTGTTCAGTTCCGGGCACCATGTGTTAAAAGGAACATAAAGAGATTGGAGTAGGTTCATTAGAAATCTACCAGATGATACTAGGTCTGAAAATTAAGCCTATAATGAAAGTTAAAGATGCTAGACATTTTAGCTTGTAAAGGGGAGATTTAAGGAATGGAAGAATTATCCAGGAATACCTAAAAGTCTATGAGAAACACAAATTGAATCTGGGCTCTATTGAAATGAGATTTGGATCAATGTCTAGGAATTTAAAAACCAGGAGATTCAGGCTGAATTAGGAAGCATTTCCTGACCATAGACTACCGTGTTTCTCCAAAATCACGACCCACCCCAATAATAAGCCCAACCCAAATTTTTGGGAGGGTGGGCCTAATATTACCCCTACCTCAAAAATAAGCCTGGGGGATGGGCCTGGCCAGCACAAGTGGGGGTGGGGGTATGGAGGGAACTAGATGGTTATTTGCTAGATATAGCCTACACTTAGCAGATTAGATAACTTGACCTATAAAATACCTTCCAATTAATACACTCTGTGATTGATCACACCCACCTGTAGCACTCACTGGCCCACCTACCTGCATTCATCCATATTGCCCGTCTACCTGCCCACACTTTCATCTCCACGTGCCACCACTTGCCCACCCTCTGTTCTTCTGCCCACCTGCAGCACCCACTTACACACCCAGCCATAACATCCAACTGCCTACCCACACTTCCACCCACTTGTGACATCCACCCATTAACACTTGCCTTTAGGGCCTACTCCCCTTCCCACCTGAACTCACATCTGCCTGTAGCACAGCACGTTCACACACACACACACACACACACACACACACACACACACAATGTACCCTTGCTCGCTTTTGCCAAGAAATAAGAATTACCTCCAGGATAACAAAATAAAAAATTTCAAGACAGATAAACTTGGCAGGCAATCTAAGATAACATGACCGAACATTATTGCATATCCTCTGCCTCCAAGACATTAGCAGGCATGCATGAAGCTAGAAAGGCATGCAAAGAGCCAGAAGTGATTTGAAAATGTTCAGGGCAGTCAATCAGTATTCAGTGGCTCTACTTGTTCACCATCTGATGTCTTCAAAACAAGCTTTTAACACAACTCCTATCTCCTTAGAATTGCAGTCATTACATTTCTCATAACTAGCTGGAACATACAACTACCATCACACACACCAAACATAAAACTCTTTGAACTACATAGAAGTAAAATTTTATGTAATATGACTCGATAACTGTTGCCTGAGTTAACCCTATAGAAATGATACTTGGTTGTGGCCAAGGATAGTTTGTACAGAAATGACAGTATATCTGTCATCCAGTTAATCATGCATAAAAATAAACAGTTCATTTCAGGTAAAGAGAAATGGATTTTATTATCAGTATTCATTTAATAATCTTGAGAATTGTCTAAACAGAATCCATAATGTTTATTTCAGAGCTAATGGGAACAGGGGCATAGTACACTACAGGTTGAGAGGCAAATGTACACAAATATATTCAATTTCTCTGTACAGTTTGCTATCACATTGGTTTTTAACTGTATTTTCAGATGATTCATAATCTGTCTCTGGTAGATACCCATTTTTTACTTTGGGGGTGGGTGGGATATAAATGGGGTCAACTCTAGATTTTCTGCAGCACATATATTTCTGCAATGCATACAATGCATTTCTCTGGAGAAAACGATTCTTTGTAGAGAATTCACTTTATATTAAACCACACAGAAGTTTCAGAAAGTATTATCCAAGTCACTGACTTGGTTTGCCAAACACACTAAAACATGCATTGTCTAAGCATGGTTTATTGAGTAGATTATACAAGTAGTTCATTTAGTGATGATTCAAAGCTACAATGGCACTGAAAAAAGTGTCTTGCAATCATTTTTCACACTTACAACTGTTGCATCATCCCCATGGTTGTGTGATCAAAATTCAGAGGCTTGGCAACTGGTTCATATTTATGACGTTTGTCCCAGGGTCATGGAATCACCTTTTGTGTCCTTCTGACTAGCAAAGTCAGTGGGGAAGCCAGATTCACTTAACAACTTTGTTACTAAATTAACAACTGCAGTGATTCACTTAACAACTGTCACAAGAAAAGTTGTAAAATGGGGCAAAATGCACTTAACAAATGTCTAGGTTAGCAACAGAAATTTCAGGCTCAGTTGTGGACATAAGTTGAGGACAACCTGTAATGAGAATGGAAATGGAAAAATTTCTGTTCCCATATCCACATTTAGTCTTTCTACCCCAAAAGCCCTCTAAAGTCCCCAAGCTCCCTTTTTGGGGAAAGGATCAGATCTGTCTTTTTATAAGGTTTGGGATGATTTAAGGATAGAAATGGGAATGAAAATGAGGGGATACCATCCTGAAACAAACCACTTCCATTCCCATCTTTTATACGTTGAAAAATTCACTCACTAAAAATTCACAGAATAGCAAATTTCAACCTCATTTTAGGTGACAGTATGAAACTAGAAGGACTCCTGTCCACTAGAAAGCCTGGAAACTGAGTTAAAACCCTTGATCCTTTCAATATTGCCTATTCTGATCTCTGACCTACATCATGAGGTAGAACATTTGTCACTGTCACATGACTCTGTAACAAGACTTTTGCCCATATGTTCATTTAAATATCTCTCCACAAGTAGCAAAAATTTGCTCCATGATGTAGAAGTTTCCCTCACCAATGCTTGCTAGTTGTCAGTGATATTAACTTTGCTTTGTTAACTTTGGGGTTAACTTCACTTTGTTTCTTTTACGGAGTGTATTTTTATTGGTCAATGACCAAAATAAGGTTTCTGCCTGTCTACATATTGGTGTAATGAACCATTTAAGTCAGGGTAGATTGTATGCTGTCTTGATTTCTCATTCAGACATTTGGGATCAATCGATTTATGTCATCGGTCATTTGTCTGCTTAACTCACAACCCAACGAGCCACAATTTTATATAAAGTTCTCTTAGGTTTGATTGGAACAAATAAGAAATAAATGAGGCAGAAGGATAAGTGGCCTTTGCAGGGAATCTTTTTTTAAAACCTCAGTAAAAGCAGCCACTCTTTTCTGCAGCCTGCTTAGCTCAGAAAAAGAGGCTTGCAAGGAAAAACCTAAGCTACCATCAGTTTTGTCTCCACAATCATCTGCCAGGAGTCCTAATTTACTTGAGCAAAACTGGTTCAATGGAAGAAAAAGCATATGTCCACCCATGCATGACCAAAGACACAAATCAATGTAGGCACAAAGAGCATGACCATGTTAATATTTTTGTAATTATTGAAGATTAAATGGAAGCTGAGCTCTTTTTGAATTATGTTTCTTGATATGAACTTATTTAGAAATGGGACTTCTTTGGTGTGCAGTTGTGCGTATGTGCATGTGTGAGAAAGGGGAGTTTTTAAGAGTGTAGGCAACAGAAATACATTTGGGATTCAAACTAAATCTTTTGTGCTGTTCAATTAGAAGAAAAACATAAACATTTTTTTTTTAAGGTAAGTTTATTCCAAGCGTTCATCTCTCATTCAGTGACAGTTTTAGTATTTTTACACATTTACATTGAGCGATCTAGAGTGCATGATTAACAATAGTGGCAATTAGCAACCTAGTCTGAAAGGTAATTTTCTGAAAAACAAGAAGACAAGGCTGAATTGTAAATCAAGACATTTCACAGCATAGTTAAGATCCACATTCAAAATCCAGACAAATGATTAAGAATCGTACCATACACTGGAGGAAAAAGGATTTAATATGATGTCAGTGTACCAGCACATGTTGTTTAGCATTGCGTTTCTGAGAAGATTTGCAACACCTTACACAGAAACCTTTTTACTTCCTGCTGCCGCCAAATATGTTAATGGACATCAAGAAAAAATGTACATATGGCCAGAACTAGAGAAAAAGCATTAGGAAATTTAAGGCTCAGGATGTAATTTTAACCCACAGAAGCAGTTCCCAAATGATGGGAAGCAAAGTGCAACTCTATTTTGCTTTGGTCATACTTCATCCTAAGTACTGTGTGCTATTCTGGGTACCCCACTTTAAGGATTCAAATATAATGGATAAGATAAAGACTAGAAACAAAGTTGTACGAATGATGCTTTTTCAAGAGGCAACTGGACTTTCTTTGTTTTTTCCTTGAAGACATTTTGCTTCTCATTTGAGAAGCTCCTTTAGTTCTGACTAAAGCCAAAACACAAGAAGCTACTTGAATGAGAAGCGAAATGTCTTCAAGGAAAAAAAAATCAAAGAAAGTCCAGTTGCCTCTTGGAAAAAAAACAACTTTTGGGACAACTATGAACTGGATGATTGAAAATTTCCATAGACATTTAAAAACAAAGTTATATGAAGAGAGATTGAAGGAGATGGGCAGAGAGGGAAGAGTTTGCATTTTCAGAAGCCCATGCAAAGAAAAGGTCAAGATTTCTTTCTTATCCCACAGGCCAGGTTACAGAATAATGGGTTTAGATTACAAGAAGGATGTTTCTGATTAAATGTGAGGAGAAATCTCCTACATTAAGAGTAACAGAATAATTGGCTCAGAGGTGGTGCATCATTTTGCTAGAGATGTCTAAGTAGTAGTTGGAGAAAGAACTCTTAGGAATACATACATTTAAAACCCTGCACTGGACAAGGGATTCAATTTAATGGCTTAAATGACTTTTCAACCCTAAAATTGTATCAGTGAGCCTTGGATTTATATATTTAAAAAACCTGATTTATTGCAAACCAGTAAGTCCCCTGACAATCTGATTATAATCTGAAAACAGATATAAAACCAGTATGGAAATACACTTATCATTTTGTTTAATGTACCAAATTCACAGGTATAGAATAGGTGTATATGGCTCATGAGCAATAACTGTGAGAGGGATCTAGGAGTCCTAGTGGACAATCATTTTAATATGAGCCAGCTGTGTGCCGCAGATGCCAAAAAAGCCAATACAGTTCTAAATTGCATCAACAGAGGGGAAGTATAAAGGTCATGTCCCATCACACTGTATTAATCTGTATTCTCTAAGGAAGAAAATCCAAGAGTTACAATACATTAAAATACCAGCCAGTATACTAGCCAGTAAATAAAAAGATGGCAGAACCCGGTGAAAGATACAATAGTATCAGGATAAATATAATATCCTGCAGACACCCCACTCCTGATGGGTTACAATCTTTATTGGCACCCAATCCCTCCCCAACTCAAATTTTGCTAAACAATTGGAAATTTATGACATTTAGGCTTTTGAAGGTGATGGCATTTGATGGTAGAAAAGTTCAATTCCTATCTAGGGCCCAAGAATGTCATCTACTCTCCAGGATCTCTCCATGGTACTGAAGAACACTGAAACTTCCTTGCTGTCTTCTATTGGTCTATCTAGAGTCATATCTTTTTGGGGTCTTTGAGTACATTTAGAATTTTGAGATTATGAAGCCTTTACAAATGTCATAGTGAGTGGAATGAATAACAAAATTTCCATTTAACAGAAGGCAAACTGGTGAGGCCATTCCCTCACCTCCAATTTAGGTTTTGCCTAAATGTTTCTGGTTTTATATAAGGCTGAGGGACATCTTTGAAAATAGAAATTATGGTTGAGAATGGTACTGTTCATCTATTTTGAACCAGAAGAACCTTTAAAAAATGATGGATTATTAAGTCTGATACAAACCTAAAGAAGTTTCATGGAATATAATAGTGTTCAGAGATGTCCCATTGGATGGCTTAAGATCTACACTCATAATGCCTACTCTGACTGACAATAGCTAATTCTCAATAACATATTTTTCATATCCTTTGTCCTTTGAACCTTTTTTGGAGACTGGACATGGAACCCAGGTACAGACACTCTATGTACTTAAGACTTGAAAGCAACTCAAGATTCTCTTCCTGGTTGAACTTCCACCCAATATTGGCATGTCTAGGGCTCCACTGCAATCCAAGGGACAGGGTCATTTCCTAGACTTGGAACATATACATGCAGTTTCAGTACTGAAAAAGAGATAGTCCAGGAATAGAAGGTGTAAAACACAAGACAACTCAAGAGACATTAAGCTACATGTTATACAGGAGTTTGTTTTCATTACTTCTTGTCACTACCTGGAAATACATAACTCAAAAGCAGCTGCGTTTATTTCCTTTCTCACATCCACATTTATTAGATATGCTAACCTTGGCGACATTTTAAGTTATACAGACAGGCCTGCATGAGGTCCAAGTGTTTCCCTTAATATTATAGGACACAATCATTAGCCCTTCTTTGTCATGATGGGTAACCAGAGACCACTTACCAATTATCCTGGAATGGAAATAGTTAACAGGGCCTTGCACTTTTCTTCTTCCAGTAGTTTCCATTATGTGATAGGGTAGTACATTTGAATATATAAGAGTTACAGTAGAAAAAAATGAGATTATTGGGGAAATTGAACATAATACCTTATCAGCATATTTCTTTTATGAAAAAGTAGACATGCAACCCTTATCCTGTATATCTCCTGCAATTACACAGGCCATTCAACAACAAAAAATTAGTGCATGCCCTGATTCGTGTGTAGGAGTCAATAGAAATATATCAATTCTTTCATTACAGAGAAAGAAGAAGGAGCCACTTATACGAGTTAAGCCAAAGAACAGTTAAATCAAATCCGAGAGATATGGGAAAATATTTACAAATGTGTGCATAGTAAGAAAAACAATTTTAACCCCCTCCCAATGCTCTCCCTCTCGCCCCATACATTTCCACACCAATTAGCTGTTGGTGTAAATAATGATTTGCAGCCTCTGAAAGCTTTCAATTTCTTTTTCAGTAAACCCAGCTTCTCTCATCTCGGAGTGCAACTCTGCCTTGTTGGCATTTCCTGTCTAGAACAAAAGCTTTCCCAGCAAGCAGGGTCTTCTGATGCAAGAGGAATAGCAGAGGTGACTAGATCATTGAAAGTCAATATTGTAAATGCAGGCTTATGGCTGGGAATCATCTAAAAGGAGGGAGAAATGGATTAAGATTTTTCTGGTTGAGAAACAAGGCTGGGATTAATTCAACTTAAAAAAAATATAAGTTTTTTTTTTTTTACATACATGAAATGAAAGACAAAGAAAATAAATAGTTTTCAGGTATGTTCAAATTTGACACAGATCCTAAAAAATCCTAGATGTAAATGCTCATCTCACTAGAAATGGTGATTATAGCGCTACCAAGTTTAATTTATAAGTAGATGGGAAATTGCTCAACAACTCCAAAGCAGTCGCATCTGACTTCAATGCTGTAAAAAAAACTGTTAAAAAAAGAAGATAAATGGAAAATCAAGAAGTCAAATGTCTCTACATTACTTGGGGATTAGTCATAAACACAATGATAGTAATTGAGTTAGAATGTGCATCATAGATCAAGAAAGGTACTATCCAAGTCCAAAAATTTATTATGATTAATGAGCACTGTCAAGAAAATGATTATAAAAATAGTGCTCCTTTAGGGAAATGGAAATATTCTCCAAATGAGACAAATGGATCAAAAGCATTCAGAAAATAAATGCCAAGAGGCAAATAAATAGAGCTGGGAACCTTTTTCCCTTAAATCAGGGGCTGCAAATTATTTTATTGTGGTGGTTAGAAGCTTGGAGATGATGTTATTTGAAGCTGACAGTAACAGCCAGTTGATTGTGTTCCATCAAGATGGTATTGATTCTTAAGAGATTTCTTCCAGGTGGATCTGTTCTCCCATCTGGTCCTTCAGACTTTCCAGTAACTGCTGTAATTGAGTCAATACACTCTGCTGCTGGTCATCTTCTCTTTCCTTTCACTTTTTTCAACTGTATGAACTTCCACTGAGAACTAGATTTTCCCCTTATGTGTCTGAATTCTGATCATATGAGCCTGGTAATGTGTACCTTGAGTGAGAACTCGGAGTTGATGAGTTCAACGATCCATTTGTTTGCTTGGCTATCCATGTTATTTTTAAAGTCTTTTCAGAACCCAAGGTTCAAAAGTGTCAATGCTCTTACTATCCTGGTTCTTCAACTTTTGCTCCTGTAAAGTGCCACAGGGAATAGCATGGTTTGCACATTTCTTATCTTTGATTAGCAATTTTCATGGCTGCTCTACTGCAGAGTGTCCTGTGGCATATATATTACTCTTTTAGCGTTGGTTGGTGATCCTAAAAGGTAGCAGCTACCTAGCTCTTCAATATCTTCATTGTCAGTTCTAAAGCTGGTTATTTCTGTTATTATATCTTCTTCATTTTAGTCCCAGTTGCTCATTATGGACCTTGAGCTTGCACATGCTTTGCGTTTGGACTGTTATTATACCATATCATTGATATTTCTTCTTGCTGCTTTTAAATTACATCAATCTTCTTCCAGTTCAGTTCCATCAATGTATATGCTGCATATAATTTGAATAAATAATAGTTAGGAGTATACAATCCTGTCTCTTTCTTTTGCCAACCTAGAGACAGTCTTCTCCAATAGTCCATCATGTGGGGTCCATAATGTAAATTCCTGCCTGCAATATAGATTTTGTATAAGAATAAGAAATGTTCTGAGCTTCTCATTTTCTAAGTGCATTCTAAGTGCTCATAATCCACACAATCAAAGTACTGTATTTTCTATAGTCAAGAAAGCACATACTGTTTTTGTTATTTTTGGCTTTCCCAATTATCCAAAGAAAATGCCTTGTGTTCTTTGGCCTTTTCTAAAGGGTTATTTTACTAGCATGTAAAATTAAGGATACTGTATGATAGTTTGCCTATCCTGTTATCTTTTCTTTAGTACTGGAATGTAGACTGACCTCTTCTAATCAACCGGCCATGTGTCATTATCCAAGTTTGCGATTAAAACCTTTACTGATTTCTCTTCTATTGCTTGCCATAGTTCTGTAAATATTGTATCAATTTTTGTAGCTTCCAATTTGGTAATGACTGGAGGACTTATCTAACTTAATCATCTAGTTTTTGTAAGAAGGGAGTATCTTCTATGGTATCGTGGATGTTGATTCTGTATATTTACTGTATGGAATTTCAACACATTCCTTTCATTTTTCTTTGAATCAGTTGTTATCTATCGACTGGCATCCTTCAGCATACCAATTTGAGACTGGAACCTCCTTCCTAGCTTAAAGACCTTTTGGAAAATGCCCTTGTTTTTCTGTGTTACCAACTTTGATGTCTTTGCAGATTTGTTGTAATACTGCTTCTTTTCAGCTCTCTGAAATAAATTGTCAAGTTTGTTCCTGAGACCTTTCCTTGGCAATTTCCACTGTCTATTCTGTCATTTGACATTTGATTCCCGTTTATTTCTTGGTTTTGCTGTTCTTTGTATATTCATCTTTAATAATTTCTTTAATTTCCCTCCATAATTCTCTGGTTCCCTGTCAGGAACTCAAAACCAAGAAAGACATACTGAGACTCTTCTAGGAAGTTTCCTTTATTGCACCTTCCCTATAGACATAAATCTTGCCATTAAAATAGACTAATTCGCACCATTAAGCATATACTCTAGGAAATACAAAGGAGAACCATCTTAAGTCTCTCCTACATAAAATATTTAAACAGGGCTGGGTTTTTTGCTCCTCTGGCATGCATCCTTCCTTTCTGGGAATCTGGACAACATTCTTTCATTCTTTCAAAGCAATTCAGGACTTAAAAGTAATTTATTTTTTTATTTATTTATTTATTTATTTAAAAGATTTATATAGTCATCCAGAGTGGTGCAGTGGCCTAGAGAAGGAGCTCTCACCTCACAATCAGGAGGCTATGAGTTCAATCCTAGGTAGAAACAGATATTTCTCTCTCCGGGCACAATGAGAATGTATCTGCTGAACAAAACTCTGCACTGGCGACAGGAAGGGCTTCCAGCCAGTAGACACTCTGCTCCATTCAGTTGCCCAAGACTCCACCCTGATTTATATAGCCATCCACCTTAAGCTACTCTGGGTAGTTGACCCCAACCAAATCCCAATGTATTGTTCAAATTGTTGTGCGTAAGTGCAGGATCATATTTTGGAAACTGGTTGGCTTTCTTTTTCTCCTTAGCTTAACTTGGAACTTGCACATAAGTAGACCACGATCTGGTCCACAGTTCCCTTCTGTGAGTTCTTCCACCTCTTTCTACCAATAATGTATTCGTTTTGATTTCTGGATAACCCTACCTGGTGATGCCCATGTGTATAATGTCACTATGGTTGTTTAAAGCAATGTCATAGCAACAGAATGGGATAACAATTCAGCTTTTCTTCCCCTTGTTTTTTCTCTTTTTGTAAAGGAAAATAATGGTAGTGGGAGCCCTTTATAAGTTCCCATTTCCCTCAAAGCCTCCAAATCAGCTGAAAGTTGTGCCATCAAACTGGCAGATTTTCCATCTGGTTTGGGGAGTTTGGGGGTTTTAAAGGATGTAATGGAATTGGTTTTCCTCAAAGAGGCTGTTTCCATTTCCACTTTCATGTGAAAAACAAGAAAAAAACTGCAGTGCTGAAAGTAATTTGTTTCTGAGCTTCAATTGAAGAAACTCCATGTACTGAAGGGGGTTGCAAATAAGGAGCTGTAGGAAGCAGAAGGCCTATAGTTGTCTGCTTCTGTATTAAAAATGCAAGTTTTTAAAATAACAAGAGCATAAATCCGTACACACACACATGTACTCATCATGTTATTCCCTTTCAAGATAAGTACTCTTACTCAGGGCACAGAAAAGATGTTAAAAAAAATAAGAAATTCATGAGATTAATAATAGAAAAGGAAACATAGCCAGAACTAATTTATTCTTGTTTTTAAAAATCCAACATATGAAATTGCTGACAAAATACTTAATTTGTATGTCAAATCTAAAGGTTGGATTCTTTCCAGAGTCACTTTTTGTGAAATGGGCAGCCATAAATAAATTTGAGAAATGGATAGAGAAATAAATAAATAAAATTCAGCTCTGTATCAGTTGATAAAAGCTGCCAATGTAACACTTTTTTAAACTAAGGCTTTAGCAAAGATTCAGGGAAATATAAATGATGGACATGAGCTCAAAGAATATTTGTGGGAAAACATTGTTTAAGATAGAATCCTCAAGTTAATATTTGTATGGACAAATATTGCTGAAGAATTTGGCATGACTTTTAAATAGTCATATATTTATATATTATAGATATTTTTGAGACAAATAAACTGGCTGGAATTAGCCGGTGTCTCTTTAGGGGCTTGTTTAGGCTCTGTCACCTCCAACACCAGTTGACACAAATCCTTTAGAGAATATATTTAGCTCAACTCACCTTATTAAATAGCTTTGGGTTTTCCCAAGAAGAGAAATCTATTTCAATCAGATTGAATTGTTGGGAAATTGCCATTTGTTACAAATCTTAATTGCATCTCTGAGCAGGTTATTTTTCTCCAAGTGATCAAATTTCATTTTTCCCCAGTAAGGTTGATGAATTGCTAATGACCGCCATGCGTTACAGAATTATCTGGTGCCTTCCTTATGCTATTGTTTTAGGCATTTCTGTATTTTTTTTAAATATTTGATATATTTTAGAACTTTTTGTTCAAATATTGGTCTCTGTGTATAAATAAATAAATAAAGTGAAATATTTGTTAGTTGTTTTGTAGTCTGGAAACTTCTTTGTGGGATAAAGCATCCTTAAGCACAACACAATCAACAGATATTTAACTGGAGCAAAATTTTAAAATTTCAACTGATAATGAAAATCGAAACCCCACCAACACAGACACACATTTTCCCACATATAGCAGAAAATATCAAATATCAGCCAGTATTAATTTCAAATATATGATGAAAAATTAAGGATAATTTGCAGAATAATTTACCCCAGAATGGTATTTTCCAAATTCTCCTGATTTTCCGAGAGCAACTGCAATATGGTGGCAATCATCTAACCGGGTCTCCTGAATAACAAATAAAACTGAAGTAAGATTTGGTATCACTTGCATGCTTCAGGAAGGGGTCTAAGGACAGCTCACTATGGTCAACTCACCATGGCCAACTCACCAGGGCCAACTCACCCCGGGATAACTTGTCATGGCCAACTCACCGCAGGATAACTCAATGCTGTGTTAATTGTTTCATTAAGTTACTTTTATTATTGGGGACCAGGTTTTCATTAAAATTATTCTAACTCTTATATTTCTGGATTAGCTCTCTTTATTTTATTACTATTGACCATGGTTCCAACAAAATTGAACTTTTGTATTTGTTGAATTGCCCCACAGTGAATTGTCCTGCGAGGTGTTGACCATAGTGTGTTGTGCCATTCCACCAGGAAGGTTGGTGACAATATAGCCAAAGCTAGCCTCTCAACTAAAAGCTTGTTTGCACTTTCCCTCTTTTTTCATTTAACAAGTAAAACAACAAAACTTTGTGTTTCTGATGACATGGTCCACCAGTCAAAAGAGAGTTTGGATGGTAAAGATGCAGTCCAATTTCTTTCTTGATCATTATTTAAAATACAAAACAACGTTTGTTTCATCTTTAAATTTCATGTTTCAGAACAGGAACTGAATCCCTTAACCTAGAAGTTAAAAGGGCATTTTTCAATGATTTCCACATTACTTCATTTTAAAAAAATCTAATGAATCTGAAGGTATTATCATAACCTCATGTAAATTACAGATGTCAGAAGTTTAAAAGACGCTTCAATTGGAGATGAGTAATAGGAATTGCGGCAGTTATTTTTATTTGTCTTGCGAAAATGCTACATTTCACTTGGAAAGCCCGTTCTTCAACCCAATCATTACATCAGCATGACAAAAGTTATTGGACAAAAGTCAGATGGTAACTTCATACTCAGTCATTTATAGCTGATGCTAAAAACATGTTGCTATTAAAGTTATAGCAGAAAGTGAGAGAGGAGGAAAGATTTTAGCTTATGAGAAAGTAGATGCTACTAATGATAGAGACAGTATCATTTATATCAATGCAAACCTATTATGTTTCAGTTCAATATGTATAATGGATCTAGGGAATAGCTTGTAAATTAAAATCATACCTCAAATGTCCACTCCTTTTCTTCTTCACCATCCAAGAGTACAATAGTTTCATTGTATGTTTTTCCTACTTCCAGCTCCACTGGGGACACATTAAACTCTATCCTTTGAAGGTCAAATCCTATTCCAACACCAATGGCTTTTACAAAGCTCTCTTTTAATGCCTAAAGTTTGACATTCAAACACAAGAGGTTATTGGATGTATACTATAGGTTTTTAAATCATTCTGAATCATTTCTAGGCATTAATTACCCCTCTAAACCAGTCATGCAAGACATGATTCCTTCTCTTTACAAGTTTATTTAGTAATTATATGTACACAATTTTGAAATTAGTTGAAGGACAGCTTTAATTATTAAATCGGAACTACTACTACTATTACTCCTGACACTTTCCACTTGTGAATCCATCAAAGCTGTCTTAAACTTGACAGTCTTTGAATGTGTTGGACTAAAATTTCATGGTTTGTTTTTTTTCAAGTCTTGAACTAGATTTCATTTTTTAGCATTCATGTTCTTTATTGCTACCCAACCCCTTTCATGTTTTTTCTATTCCTTCTATTCCTCCATTCTTTCTATTCTTTCGGTATGCTGCTAGTCTCTGTTATAAATTAGGCCAATGGAAGCTTTGAAAGAGATTAATTTGTGTGAGCATACGGGACGTTCTAAGGATGGGCAGTGGTAGGAATGAAAGGGCTGTGCCACTGCTCAACTGTCCTTCCCAGTCACAATATAACTTTTAAAAAACTTCAATAGCATCAAAGTAATGATTTTTTTAAAAAAATTGCAGGCAGAAATGCCTAATACGTTCTAAGCATTGTGCAGGTACTGAAAGGTAAGGTAATTCCTGTGAAGAGATTCAGTGTCTAATAGAAAGAAGATAAAAGAAAAAAAATTAGGATGGAAAAGGAAAGGAAGATCTGAACAGCTATTAATTTTTTCAATGGAAGGATTCATTTACACTTTTGCAAATATATTTTTCTTAAGAGGTAGAGGATAGTCTGATTTATCTTCATTTGAGCTGGCCAAATTAGTTCTCAGATAGTTGCCAAAGGATTACCAAGACATCCTGGAAATTCAGGTCCATTAGCATAATGAAGCAACTAATAACAAAATATAATATACTACGTATTCCTAGGTAGAGGGTGTTAAAATATTGTTGGGTTTCATGGGTCAAACATTTGGAAATTAAATTTGTAAGACCTGGATTAAATCTGAGGTCATTGAGTTTATCACTCTTCCACAACCTAACTGTCAAACAAGATAGTTAAAATAATCAAATAGAAAACAAACTTTTAGTATACCTATCCTTAAACCTTTAGTATACCTATCTTTGAAGAAAGGCCAAGATACAAGGAGGACAGCCAGAATTACTTTTTCTGAAAAAATGATTAATTCCAGTTTTCTGGATTGTTGTAGAATTGTTCCAGGAAGTTTTCAAAATAGACGTTCCACATTCAAAAAAGTGTTCTCAAAATAATGAATGCTTATTTGTTTGAACAGGACCTATATTCATTGACTATAAACAATGAATTTTATTACCCAATGCCTATGAAACATATCCAACTGAAGCCATTCGTTCTTCCTGGACTTGATAACTCGCCATTCTTCTTCTGTGAACTGCCGTTTCATAAGCTGAAAAAAATCAGGAATTGAACCACTTCCTGAAATTTAAAAAAACAACAACAGTAAAACGGAACTGATAACAGACCACTGAAATTTAACACTAGTTGGAATCATTCATTGCATTGTCAGGCCTTTATGAAGCCTATTAGAATAATGTATGAACTTTTGATGTTGAGATTTTTAATTCTTACTTAATGGCATAAATATAATTGCTGTGTTAACCGAGATAGTTGTAGTTTATTCAATAATAAAGGCAAAGAAACAATAGGTTGAAATGTTTTGTGATCCAAGCTGTTTACCTTCAACAATACAAATAGAGAGTGAGTCTTTAGGGTTTCAGACAATTTCAGTCATGGGCTTGTGTACTTTCTCAGGTACACAAGCCTGTGACAATTATACTGATGGAAACTGGGATATTTAACATTTAGAATACACATTTACCTACTGATAAGACTTTTTTGTACTTCAAGTCAATAGTTAAGCTTACAATGGGATAATTGTATGTTCTAATAAAAAGGAATGGAAAATAATACCATGCGAGTTTTGTATTAATGGCTTAACAATTATTTTCTTGTCACTCTCATTAATTTGCCAACTTAAACAGGATCACCTTCAATGAAAACCTTTCTTTTTGAGGGTTGGTTTTGAATAATTTCTGGTCAGTGCTAGGATCAATGAATTCTTAATTATATTCACCAGGGAGACAATGCATAATTGCACAATGAATAATTCCTGAAAACAATTTCTATAAGATTTCACCAAAGCTAGTACTGGATTTAAATGAGAATTAGAAAAATTCTAGTAAAATAAACTATAAACACTTTTGAGTTAGACTTGACAACTGACAATATATATGTGCCTATGACAGAAATATACTTTATGTTTTGTTTTGTCACAGATGAGTTTCTTAAAGACACTGGAGTTGCTCAATAGGTAAGTGGAGTGCAAAACTAGATGGATTGATGCTCTGATCCAAGAAGATCAAAAGAACTTCTTTCTTTTTATAATTAAGGGAGAGAAAACAGAGCAAGGAAAATGTGGAATTTTCTTTAGGGAACAGAGGCAGCTTACATTTTTAAGGAGTCAGTGTTTATCAGAATTAGCCCTGGCTAGAAGTCTGAAATGTTTATTAGGAATGATAATCTACAGCCCATAGGTAGCTTTCCCAAAACTTTTTTATGGGTACCATTCACATCTGTTGCCAAAATCAGAGTTTCAATAGATATTCTACTTTGTTTGTGTTTTTTACAAGATTGAAAGATTTTTATTTTTTTTACAAATCATTACATTTAAGATACATTTAGGAATTTTGGGAGGGTGAAGGGTTGTTGTTTTTTGGAGAAAAAAGTGTTCTAGACTCATCAATATTTTGGAATTTTCTCATCAACGTGCCACATAATGGGGAAATGAAGATCTTCAGAAGTAAGGAATGTCTAAAGGAGAGATCATCATTGCTTAGAAAAATAAAGAAAATGAAGGTTTATTTTTTAAAAAAGAACTAAACAAATCATGAAATGGGCCTATATAAATTGTTTTTATGAATTAAAAATAAAGATATATTTTTATGAATTAAAAATAAAGGTATATAACTGATTGTTATAACTGGTGACAATACCCATAGAAAACAGAATTAGTTTATATATATATATATATATATATTTCCAGTTGAGTCTTTAGATTGCCTTGTGGTCAGGCAGGGAGAAAGGATTTTGAAGACAAAGGTTTAAAATAAAGTTAACAGAAAAGCCAATAGTAATACAACTCTATAGAAATACATCAGAGAATTCTCAGTATAATAGCAGAATCAATTTAAAGAAACATAAAGTTTATCACAGTTGAGGTAAATGTCAAAAGGTGACAGCTGTTAGGGCAGCAAAGAATTAAATGAAACAGATAATCAGTACACTGGATAAATCACCAAAAGGCATCAGATTAATCCTGATGGATTACAAGCTGGAATTTATAAGGATGAAAATATAGTGAAATTAACAGCAGACTTGTCGTCTAAATAACTATCTGGAAAACCTCCTGGTTATATTTTTTGTTGTTATTCTGATACCATATAATTATAGTTAAAATGATGGAGAACATGGCAATTTCTAACGAAACATTTTTATTTTTTTGCTTTCAGAAAGTCAATGTTTCAGTCATTTGGTGAGTTGAAACTACTATTATTACTATGATGGCTACCACTACCACTTCTCTATTTTCTCTTTTTTTTGTTGGCAAATAATTAACATCTTAAGAATTTCCTGGCATGGTTTCCCCTAATTCTGCATGTCCAAGATTTCTTAGAATTATTAGTGTCAATCCAACTGCAGAGAACCAAATTAGCATTTGTGGATTAATGGGACAAAAACTTGCATTCATTCTTCTCAGGGAATTATGTACCGGTGATACTTTCCCAAAATTATTTCTTTCTTCTATCGCTAGCTAGCCTTTCTGCCCACAGGACAATCAAGGCAGGTATTTTTTTTAATATATTTAAACTATTTTAAACTGTATTTATATTAAAATACTTAAAAAAAAAGAGATTTAAAAGGAGAAAATGGTTTACCACTTTGACTCTAGATTAATTGGAGAAGTAAATGTACAGAAAGACAAAGTTGCTGATTACTGCAATCAATTGCTGGGTAGAGTTTAGAGAATGTCATGATTCTTTCTCTATTTATACCACTTCTATCTGCCCCCTGCCCTGAGCTTGCTATAAACAGTGGCAAAATCAGTGATTTCCAGAAAAAAGATTTAGAATGAAGGATATTCAATCCTGAAGCATCTGGAGAACTGAATGTTAGTGAGGACTGCACAAAGTTAAGTCAAGAACAAATAATATATTACTAAAGGGAACATAAAATTCATTTTAATTCTTAAGTTTTAAAACCTAAGAGATACCTTTGGATTAAGAAAATAGAGCTGGGAGGCTCCTATTAATACAACAGCATTTGGAAATATGATCTTTTATTTTTTTCAGTGTTCATGTTGTGAAACTTATTAGCAACTTAAAACTCATTAATCATATTGCCCCATTAGAAATAGATTTTTAATTTTTTTTAAAAAAAACTAAACTTGTTCTTGAACATGACAATTCGTAATTCTTCCTCAAGGAAAACTGGAAATCTTGAGATAACTATCTAGAAATAAATCCAAGAAACCAAAATTTTGATATTGTTTCTTTTTTTAAGCACCCAGAAAGCATTTAAGTTTGCATCTGCTTACCTTTTAAAATACCAATATAAAGCCATGCCTCCCTACAGCACAGGATTTCCAATTAATACATATTCTGTCGTGATTTATTATCACTGGAGTTCAGGATTAGCTGTTTTCTCCTCTGCAATATTATTGTTTCCAAATCAAGTTCACAACTCAAGACTTTCTTTCTTGAACTTCATTTCCATCCTAAATAAAACTATCTCGGTTAATCTTTGATCCATGCTTCTGAAAATGTATTATTCCGTGGACAAGAAAGCTCACAACTACTTCACATGTGGAAACCTTGCCCAACAATCTTGTTTATGACTAGTAAGGTTCTCATTCATCCAATGAAATAATGGTTAGAGGGCTACAGATTTAAAAATTAGAGCTCTAATTCCACAGCAACAATTTAAGTAAAAACAATCAACATCACATCCAGTATGATTTTCTCTGCATTCTCTAAGAGCCAAAAGCACAGTATCTCAAAACCATTACTTTGACTTTGTTGTGATAAGAGTTCATCACTTTTAAGTTACAATGGCAGACTTAAAATATGGAGCACAATCCAATGCTATCAGAAAATTGAGCACCAGTTCAAAGCCTTCCATCATGTTATACTTCACAGTTCCAAAAATATAATTTTGTACACACTCCCACTCATGTAAAATAATTCAAATGCAATAATTTCCATAAACCAATATAAAGAAGCCTCCCACCCCACTTCACCAGACACAAGGGTACACCATTCTGGACTGTATTTCTGTAAAACGTGTGGCTATGCAAATATTGCAAAATGACATTTTAAAAAAGGATGGAAAAAAACCCTGAAATAGAACTATTTACTTTTAGTAATGTATTTTAATTCTACCAATGTGGGACAAAGCAAAGTCATTAGGCAATAAGTTGAGAGACCAGTATGAAAATAATAAAGCTATACCTATTCATCCCCTTTGATACAGAAAGATTTTCCATGTTATCAGTTTTTCACAAACATCACTTTATAGCTTATTAATCAGGGCAGCAATATACATTATGTAGATTCTGATGCAAATTAGTCTTTTTGAATAATTATTATTTCAGCATGGGAAATTTTGGAAAACATAAAGCGAAACATAAAGGTGATACTGAATATCAGATATCCACCCTCATCCCCACCCATCCCATACTTTAAATTCTGAAAGTGCAAAACAGTTTACCCTGTTCCAGGTATTTGATTCCATTCCAAGGTCACATCACTTCCAAAATGGGCCCATTCTGAGTTCCGACCATTTCTGGATCACTCAGAATGGTCCAAATTCAAAAGACGCCATTTTTCACATTCCTATTTTAAATCTCAGGGATATCTTCAGACACAAAGGGGAAAGGCATGAATGTAATTTTCATGAAATTATGGAGACTTTAAACAGTGCTTAATGATTGCTCAGACAGCTTAGGCAAACAAGGTCCAATGGCATGCATGGTATTGAAGGAACCATAGCCAAGATCTGGGGGACATTGGATTATCTACTTCCACTTGGGACTAGTTGACACATGATTCTGAGAAATGGATTATTTAACTGTAACTGGAAAGGACAGTTTTGGTGTGCTTTCCAGAGTCATCTTATGGACCACAGTAGAAAAAAGCTGAAAAGGAGTCTGCTGTTATTGAATATGACTGTTCCACCATAAGAACAGTCTCAGATCAGTTAGTCCAAGTCTTCCCATACAAAACTGTTTGTTTAGATGAGAAAGGGCCATTGCACCATTGCACCTTAAATGAAGAAGACTTTTTCCCCCTTTCTTTTTTAATAATTTCTTTGTATGTTGCATCTTTAAAATTTTAAGCCTTAGGACAAGTTCTTTCTCACTATGGAAAGCCATTGATTTCTCTTGGATTCTTATTGGGATAAAATAGAAAGATGTTTAAGCACTAAAACTGATCTGTTTCCAGATATAATCATTATGAAAAGAAGCATATGAAGATTTTGCATTGCAGCATCCAGATCAGAGGTGGTATTCAGCAGGTTCTGATCAGTTCTGGAGAACCGGTAGTGGAAATTTTGAGTAGTTCAGAGAACCGGCAAATACCACCTCTAACTGGCGCCACCTCCATCTATTCTCTGCCTCCTGAGTCCCAGCTGATCGGCTGGGTCTTCTTTTTTTGCCCTCCACAGGAGAACGGAGCTGGAAAGCAGGTTAGTGGGGTTGGGAGGGAATGAGATTTTGCACTAACCTTCCCCTAGGAGTGGGGAGGGAATGGGGATTTACAGTATCCTTCCCCTGCAACTCCCACCAAGCCACGCCCACCAAGCCATGCCCACAGAACCGGTAGTAAAAGAAATTGAATCTCACCATTGATCCAGATTCTAAAACTAGGTGGAATTGGGACTCCATTGGTTAATGAAAATATTCCATTTAGAAAGGAGCTGATGTGGACTTAAGCAATGCTTCTTCCTGCATTAATGTGCAGCCACAAATAGCTGACTGAATAATGTTTTGTTTGTCTTTAAAATTAATGCTATTTGGGTTTACATTGCTACTGATTTCTTATACATAAAATAGCTTTTAATTAATGGAAGCTTTGCAATATGGAAAACATTTTGGCAGAATTCATAACTCATTTTGAAGATCTCACCATACATATGCAGCCCTTCTGTTCTACCCAACAGTGCATTTAGTGGGAATCTACAACATATTATACTAAATATTGTTGACAATAAGCAGGATTTTGCAAAAAAAAGTAGGTAAATAGAAACTGTTGATACCAGAATTAGATAGAATTACTAAAAAACTAATTTAAAAAGACAAGTAATCAAGTGGCTTAATTTCTAAAGAAAAACCTTCACAATGGACATATCAAACCATATTATTCCAGAATAGACTATATTCTATAGAGAGAGACAGTGTCTCTTAAGAATCTGGGAACTCCAGTTTTCTCATCTGAATCTCTGAATCTTTAAAGATTGCTACTCATTCCTCCTTATGAAATGAAACTGAACACATTTTCTTGAGTCTACACCGTAAGTAATAAGGAGTCAGTACTAAAATCACGATCCATGCATATATGCACTACTACATTTTGAAATCTTCTTCTCTTCACATCAGGAATGTCTGGTAGAACAACTACACCACCACGTGGTTTTCTTTGTGATGACACTTGCTACCCCAGATACTATTATTATAAGTCAGGCTTTCATTCTCTAGATGTGTCAGCTATGATTTTCAACACCTGACATGATGACTGAAACAACGGAAAGCTATAGTCCCAAGTTATTTGGAAACAATGTTGTAAAACTTCTGTCTTGCCACATGCAAATTCATCTCTTATTTTTCTTCAAAAAGTAGCCAGAGCAATTATTCCTTTCAGCATAACAACAATCCGGCAAGCAACTCAGTAGGTTTCATGGTTGTGGAAGAATTTTAATGCAGGTAACCTTGTACTTTTGAATTATATACTGGGTTTGGTTTATATATTTTCAGAAACCATTTGCCTGCCCTAACCCTAAGATTTAACAGTTCTAATAATGCGCAATCAAGTGAAAAGAAAATCAATAACTAAGATCATTTTAAAAATTGGAATGTTGTAATTTAAGTCATATTGAGCAGGCAAAAGACCCATCCTAGATTAGGACATAGAGGTATCAGGTCCCATTACCTGGCATCGTGGTCTTCATAATATCAATGCCAACCTGACAATCAGGTTCAGCTGCCAGTACAGTGTAATTTCCTTGATGAGAAACATTAAAGCTGAAATTGGACTGGCTGCTGCTTAATGCATTTACAAGGACAGGTTTGCCTTGTGAAGTCCTTTGTAACTGTATTTTGTTCCAAGGAATCTTCAGCCTTTCAGCAATCAGTTTTCTTATCATCAGGCGGCCAGCCTGCAGAATAAAATCAACAAAACAACTCATAACATGTAAATTGTTCCATGTGAGTAAAAAAAAGTATTACAATATTATTTGTTTGAAGAACATTTGGACGCCTTATGGAGTAATTGACAATCCAATTACCTTTAAAAAAAAAAAGCAAAATGAACGGATTCAGTATTGCAATTGCAATATTTTATTAAAACTTCTGTGCTTGATTCTAATGATTAGAAAATTAGAAACTGATTCTAATTTTGCCTGATTCCTGATTACGAAAAATGTCATTTTCCCCAATAATGCAATACTTCATGCGCTTACATATAAACTATCTAAATTTTCCAGCCAAATTTTCAAAAACATGACTATAGTTTGACAAGTTGTCTTCATAAAATCATCTGCCAACAGTTTTTGTTTTAATGTCTCATTTGATGAAACAAAAATGTTTTGTGGTGCTAACCACTGAGTTCTAATTTCAGAACAGTAAATTGACTTATTTCTTTGTTTTATGATGTAAGTGAAAATGAATCTGAATTCCCTCCAATAATCTAAAGCAGGTCTTCAAACTTGACAGCTTGAAGACTTGTGGACTTCAATTCCCAGAATTCCTCCTCCAGTCATGTTAGCTCAGGAATTCTGGGAGTTGAAGTCCATAAGTTGCCAAGTGTGGAGACCCTTGCTCTAAAGAGACTGTTTTACTAATAAGGGACAATTTGATTAGAATACTATAGTATTTAGAATGATTTCCCTTTCTACTTCTTTGATTTGTGATGAAGTGAATTTATAAAGAATTTGTAACCATAGTTTGTATCCTGTTCCATTCTTAAATATATTCCTAAATCTGTTTTTTTCCCCATATTTCTTAATGGTATTCAAGCTCATTTCAATACTGAGTAATATTTTATAAATTATTGAAACTAAACCCATTTTGGATTCTTATATGTAGCAATAGTCTATCTATTTCAATATTTAATTTCTTTTGTAAGAAGGGTTCAGGGATGAGTGAGATATATATAATCTTCTTTTAGAAATTGACTTATTTAATAACTATTCACAGTTGTGACAGCAATGAAAAAATAACTTCATAATCAATCCTTATATTGATGATTTTTGCAGGCTGGTGAAGGACAGGAAAGCTAAAGTTAGCTGTGGTTTCACTTAGTGAGCACTTCACTTAATGATTGAGTTGCCAGTCTAAGAGGACAACCTAAAATTATAAATAACAAACAGATGAGTACTATATTTAAAAAAAATAAGTCTTTTAAAGGAAATTAATAATGTGTATACAGATACTCTAATTTAGTTATAAGATGCAATGTACAATGTAAAATTCTATTTTTCTTTCTGTATTTCGAATTCAATGTGAAGATAGATTGTGAGTCATAGAAAGCAGGTTTAATTCTTTTGAAGACTGTTTTCAGAGATAAAAACCCTAACAGAGTTTTAAAAAAATACCCACAGAGAAAAAAAATCAATGTTTTTAGGAATCATATACTATCAGAACACTACTTTTAAAAAATAAAATAGTAGAAGCAGGAACTAAGACATCAATGGAATTTGAATCATTTGGCTTTTCTTCAGTTTAACTGACTGAAATCAACTTATGATCATAATGATTAAATTCATTTAAGCAAGTGAAATATGTAATGCTTATTTTGTCATGAAATGAGTAACTTTCCTTATGCTGAAAAAAGTTTAATTACGGTATGTGCCCAGACACATAATTCTCTATAACATCAAAGTGAATTTTAAAATCAGATTTATTTATGTATTGAATGGTTGGCTTCTACATTTCCTACTATTATGGAATGAAATATATTGATACATAATGCAATTGTATGTTATTTCTAGAACTTTAGCGCCATCTGTAGAGCATAATTTCAGCCTTTTATAAAGACTCCTCTTGTTACTAAACTATTAGCTGTTGCTAAAAACATAGAATACTATGCTATTTTAAATAATACCACCAAAGCCTCTCCTATCCTGTGCCTCAGCCTACTTAAAAATATGAAGTGCAGTTTTCAACCAAAATGTCGGTGTTATAGAAAATCTGGGGAAAGTTACTGTACCTGATGGCCAGAAGAAATCTGGGGAAAGATACCTGATGATCTCATACGAGAGGTGAGGGAAAATTTCTAGTTGTCCCTCTCATGCAGCAAGAGCAACACTACTGATATTTGGCTTGATATCCACTGAAGCCCTGAATGATGGGCATTAAATCATACAGGTTTAATGCACTTGTCCCTTCTAAAATTTCCAAAGCCAACAGAATGTTCCAAAGAGTGAATTAGGCTTACCATAGCAGCTTTCGCATCCCGACCAAAGACGAACTGTTCAATGCGCTTTTTCTCTTCAGGCTGCACAAGGCGCATGGCTAACAACCATTCCTCGCAGCAAGGGGCCCAGGCGCGGTATGAAAATGCCCAGCGTATACTTTCCATGTCGAGGCACACCAAGGACACCCTAAAAAGTGATGGTGTCAAACATACATATTCCAATCATCTGGAAAAAAAAGAAACAAAGTTGACCAAACTTTTGAAGTTGCTGACTCTGGTTTGAAAGACTTAAATTTGGAGGACACAGCTATCACTGATTTATTCAACTCTCCCTCACATGGTTATCACAAATGCAAACCTATGGCTACAACAATACATTTACCTAATTATTCACTAGACCTCAAAGCTTTTTTAAAGTTTAAGGGCAAATAAATTATTACTCTACGAACTAATTTTAAAGTTCCAGAAGAGTACAACTGCAATAAAAGAGTATGTGAGTAGAAAAAATAAAGGAGAAATCTGAAAAATGAGCAAATCTGAAAGAGGTTCATAAAATGTTTTTAAAAAATCATTTTAGGTTTATAACTTTGCTCTAAAAGGGAAAATTCAAGAACAGAACTAAGTAAATAAATTTAAAGATTTTGATATAAAGGACTGTGCTTTATAATAAAGGACCTACAGTCACTGATGAAAGCCAAATTTGGCCCTAGGGTCTGCCTGAGTTTATTTATTTATTGGAATTTGTCAAACAAAAACGAGAATAAGAATCAGAGAATAAAAACACAACGACAGGGACAATAGGCACAACCCCTCTACTGACCACTTTACCTTAAATAAGCAACTGAATCTTGGAAGATCATTTAAAAGTAGTTTATTAGGATATCCTGATGAAATGGGATCTCTCAATGAAAAAGGAAGAAACAGGCTTGAGCCTCATGTTTCCCTCCTTTTTATAGTTAACGCAACAAAGAAAATGCAAGAGAAAAGTTGATTGGACAGGGTAAGAGTAAACTCCCCTTTGCACATGTAATCAAACATGTTTACATATTTCCAACCCATAATATCACACATTCATTAACAATGAGGTCTGATGTCAGCAGGGACGTAACTGTAAGGAAAAACATTGTTTGAAGTTCACAAAAGAGATAAACCAGACCCTAATTTGTACTAACAACCTTTTTCTTTTCTGGAGCTAGTCTCCAGCTTGTTTTATCAGTTTAGGAATGTTAAAAGCTAATAAACCTGAACATCATTTTCAAAGAGAGAAAATAAATCAAATTAAAATATAAAATAACTATGTTTGTTAACAAATTACAGAAACTCATGTCATTTGCCCCTCACCGTACATGGGGAAAAGAAACACACGCTGGTATAAAGCAGAGGTCTCCAAAACTTGGCAATTTTAAGACTTGTAGACTTCAACTCCCAGAATTCCCCAGAGTAGCCAGCTAAGAAATTCTGGGATTTGAAGTCTGCAAGTCGCCAAATATGGATGAAGAAACAGCCAAATGGATAACACTAAGCGGGAAATGTGCCTACATAGTTGGCCCTTCGAGGACAAGATGTCAGTGCTGGTCCGAGTCTTGAAGGGATTCTTCTAATTTGTTCCTAACATACTTTCAGGGATCATTTCTATAGTATCCAACAAGAGAAATGCACTCAAAACACTGGAGGCTTTCAAGAAGAGATTGGGCAGCCACCTGTTGAGAATGGTGTAGAATCTCCTGGGCAGGGGGTTGGACTAGATGACCTACAAGGTCCCTTTCAACTCTGTTAATCTAAAAGTGATTATTTAAAAAAGTGACTTGATCACATGCTTAATGTGGCGGCACAAGGTTGATTGATTCTGGAAGTGGGAAGGGGGTAACAGGTCTTCCTCAGTGGGTAATCCCAAAGGTGCTTTTTTTTCCCAAGAGGCAACTGGACTCTGGTTTTTCTTTGAAGACGTTTCACTTCTCTTCCAAAGAAGCTTCTTCAGCTCTGACTGGATGGTGGGGAATTAGTTCTTGATGCAGAGTTCAAACTGAATTCTTCAATCAGAGCAGAAGAAGCTTCTTGGATGAGAAGGGAAACATCTTCAAAGAAAGACCAGAAAGTCCAGTTACCCCTTGAAGAGAGATGGGGGGGAGCACCTTTGGGACAACCGTGACTGGATGACTGAGAATCTCCATAGCCACTCAGCGAGTAGTGGAGTTTTCTTCCCAGCCAATCATTGGACTGCTCAGAGTGAGTCAGAGGATATTTCCCCCCAATCACAACCAGGCTTACTTGCAAGGCGACGTAACGGGAGGGGGAGGGGGGGGACTCAAAGGACAGAGTAGAAGTATCACGCATTAGCGCTGCTTACCACCAGCCCTTGATTCTCTATAAACTATGTTGAACCTGAAGCCGGAAAGGGCGGAAACGCAAAATGCGCCTACCAATCGAGGCATAGCCGCCCAGGAGAAATCTGTCCAATCACCACTGGCCGCAAGCCCCTGCAGTGTGCATAGAGCTAGAAATTTAAAGATAACTCTTCTCGTAGCGGACTTCTGTTCAGCATTTTACCACCGTTCAATAAGACAACTTTTATCAATAAGACATAGCAGGGTTAATGGGGTTCCTAAAGGTAAGCTAGCGCCCAACGGCATTGCACTCATTGCGGATGAGGCGGGCGTTAAATGGATGACTGACATCTGCTCGTACGAATCAAAACGCAGTTGCTTTGACTGACAGGAGGGAAGCCAATGGACGAACTGCGGTGGGTTTTATGCGGCCGGTGTAGCAGATGTTTCCTACAGCTTCTGGGGAGGGTGCAGGTAGGTGAAAGAAAGTGACGCGATACAGCCAGAATTTTTTTAAAAAAGGGAATGGGAGATGGGCTTCTCTGAATTATAGTGAATTGATTCTCGCAAAGGACGTTACACTTGCGGAACTAGTACGAAGCCCCTTCTCTTCCTAAATAGGGATTGAAGAAAAGAACGGTCCTTTTCGCTAAAGCATCAGAGGCCAAAACGAGCATGCGCGGTTACTTGGGCATGCGCATAAACTAAGGTACGTCTGGTGGGCGGGTCGTGGAAAGTGGAAGCCGTTAAAAAAAACAACATGCAGTGCGCGTGGGAAAGGAGATGCAGGGATGGATTTTGGGTGGGTTCGATTGCAATATGAAAGAGTTCTTGATCCATTTAAAATTAGCAGCAGAATTACAATGCATCCCGTGTTGTGATAAACGGACGTAATTAGACACGTGCTAAGCTGGAAACCTGGAGATTGAGTTCGATCCCCCTCTTATGCGCAAAGCCGACTGGGTCGTCTTATGCCAGCCACTCTCTTTGGCCCTTGGGAAGAGGCAATGGCAATCACTTCTGAAAACCATGCCAAAACTGTATAGACACACACACACGTAAACAAGCGTGCCAATGAAATAGCACTTTATTTGTAATTTGTGTAAAGCTGGCCTTATTTCCAGCGGACTGACGCCAGAAATCAATTAAAAATTAAAAGCAGTACCTCCTTCCCTCACCAAAATCTCTTGCTTTCCAGAACTGTTGGAATTACAATTTTCAGAATCTCGAGATCGCGGAGGAGCCTTTTTTTTTTTAGTTTTTTTTTTAATCCAGAGGATTCTGAAAGTAGATTTAGGGGGAAAAAATCGGTCCAGAAGTCGAGATACCTAACGCATGAGCTTTGGTGAGAGCTGTGCTTTTAAGATACAAGGAATATTATTCAGACATGTATTATCCATTTTGGTTATAGAAGGGGACTGAAGGGGGCATATTTGAGTCAGAAAAGGACTGCAAACTCAAAAGGTATAACCAGGAACAATTACAATTTCAGTGCAGTAATTGTTACTGAATAATGTGGTTAGAGCTCATTGCAAGGAAAATGCCTGGATAGTATTTAATATTTCGTATTATTGCTAAAACTGGTACATTTTTATTAGGCTTATTGTGATGATTATTTATGGCAGCTAAGAATCGGGGAAACTTCCCATTCCTTCAAAAGTGTTGATAGCCCGAGTCATGAAATGATGGCTAGACAAAGATTTGGAAATTGCTTATTCTAGCCAAGTTCTGAAGTGAGACTACTAAATTAAATTTTCACTGTATTTCTTTGGTTATGAAAATGGATAACAGAAATCATTATTTAATTGGGTGTGTTTACATGGTACCCAAGTAATTCTGAAATGCAAAGTGTACATTTCATATGCTTAATGTATTCAACCTGATATGTATTTAAAAATGTCAGCTTTTGTGAATTTATAGCTTAGGATATTAACAGAAATTTGTGACTGGAAATAAGTGATCAATAGGGCTGTTTATGAAAGAAGTTTTTAGCCCTATGCTATTTTATTTTAGCACATAAGAAAATTCTTTACTGCAATAGCTACATTACGCATCATCAACACAGAAGGTATAGCTTTTATTAATTTAGCTGCATGTTCCAGTAAGAAGCCTAGGAAATATGTCCTGCTAGATTTTGGCACATTTCTGTGGCTTCCATACCTCACTAATGGCAAGATTTTGCTTGATAAATGAGATTTAGAATAATTTTGCTTTTGTTAAATATGTTATTTATATATATTTACTGTGCAAACTGATAAAACCGTAGACCTAGAAAAGGTGCAGTGAACAACTGAAATATTTACAGATTATATCTATTACTATTACTTCTATTACTATTACTTGAGTAGGGCTAAATCTTTGTCTTCATTTAGTTTTTCCTATGAATTGGTACAGCTTAGCTAACAAGAATGTAAAGTTTAATATTTGTGTTTGAACATAGTGTCTTATTTTTTTTTGCTTAATGATCCAGAATCAGTGATTAAAGTTACTGAATTATAATTGCTGCCTTATTTAAGAGTGACCAGTTTTATACTGTAGTTTAAATGAGAAGCCATTTTTACTGATATGAGTCCAATGGGAAATTCTCCAGATTTCTAACAGATCATTTTGTGACCATGTGGCCATTATTTTATTTATGAGCTTACTGGTTTTTTTAAGTGTCTATATCAGGGATATCAAACTGGGGGCCAGATGCGTCACATGGTGACCACAACCACCCCAGCTCTGTGAAGGAAAAAAATGTTGATACGTCACATGATGGCAATGGGACACGGCCAGTTTGACACCCGTGGTCTATGTTCTATTTTTTTTTCTTTTCAGCTTACTGCAAAAGTACAGGAACCAGTGCAATTTCATTTTTCTATTTCTTGTTTTTTTTCATCTAGTAGTTTCTACTCGTTTTCTATTCTAGCTAAAATCAGATCATAGAGATGATTTTCGGAGTGTTCAGCTATTTGCAGAGAAACAATTGTATTACAGGAGCCCTATTGAATTCAGTGGAGTTTACTTCTTAATAGTAGTAAATATAATTATGTTGCTAGTTAATTGTCCTTCCAGCAACATGCTTCTGGGCTGGAAGGTGTAAATCATAAAGCAATGCAGATATTTCAGTTATCAGTGAGAATTCAATTTCTATATTTTAATTTAGATTATTTAAAATATGAATACACTACTTCATATAGAGCACAGTCCTCAATACATCAGGACCATGAAGTAGTTTTCTCAATAATTTGTTATGAAAATAATGTTTGTAATGTGTATATTATGTCTCTCAATAGTAAAAGATCAAAGAAGCCATGGACAACCAGTATAATTCGAATCACACCCCAACTTGCAATGGAATTTCAACTCATGACAAAAAAATCAGTTCTTTGGTGGCTGAAGATCATGGTCAGAGAATCCTAACCATTCTGCAAAGCTTCAGAGCTCAAAATATATTTTTTGACTTTAAAATACTTGTAAAAGATGAAGCAATTCCCTGCCATCGTTGTGTACTAGCAGCATGTAGTGATTTTTTCAGGTAAATGTATTTCTAACTGGGCTCCTTTGCTACATATGTTGTTAAAGTTGATTAAAAACCACAGAGTCGGCCCATGCAATTCAAATTGTAGAATTATTTAATATTGACTTATATAAATTACATAAAATTGCATAATTATATAAAAATAATTCAGTTACTTGAAAAATTGCAAGGATTTTAAAAGTATCTGTTCATTTTCTGCAATCATATTCCAGGCTTTTTGGAAGCCCCTTTGAATTCAAAGGTTCTTCCCATATATACCTATAGATGATTGTGCTTTTGTTGTTAAGATGACATGATGCTTATGCTACAAAAAATCAGCAAGTATGTATACTGAGGATGGTACTGATTATCTCATTTGAGGTCTGAGATTTTTTTGATTGAATTGGATATTGATAATGATGACAAAACATGTTAAATCTTCTATATTTTAATTACAGGGCCATGTTTGAAGTTAACATGAAAGAAAGAGATGGTGGGAGTGTTACAATAAGTAATTTAACATCCAAGGCAGTGAAGGCTTTTCTAGATTATGCTTATACTGGAAAAGCAGAGATAACAAATGATAATGTGGAAATGTTCTTTCAGCTGTCCTCCTTTCTTCAAGTTTCACTTCTTTCAAAAGCTTGCAGTGACTTTCTAATTAAGAATATTGATCTTGTTAACTGTTTACAACTCTTATCCATTTCTGAAAGTTATGGCTCCACCAAGCTGTTTGAGCATACACTTGAATATGCCCAACTCCATTTTTCCTTGCTTCTCCAATCAAATGATTTCTTGGAAATGCATTTTGAGATACTGCAAAAATGCATAGAAGCTGATGAGTTGAACGTACCAGATGAAGAATCTGTGTTGAAAGCTGTCTTTTGGTGGATAAAACATGACTTAGAAACAAGACATAAATATCTTCCTCCTTTGATGAAAAAGATCAGGTTACATCAGTTACCTGAAAAGACATTGCAGGATATTTTGCATTCTGAGGAACAATTACTTAAAACCACAAATTGCTTAGCAGTAATCAAGGAAGCAATTCAAAATGTACAGCGTTTCAGTGGGCTTTTCCCAGATCCTCGCCCATCAACTACAGAAAAATACATACTGGTTCATAAAACTGAAGAAAATAAAGTTAATCAACATACATTTTGCTATAATATTAAAACTGATCAATGGAAAGAACTGATAAGCATAAATATATTTGATCTACCTGGATCAAGTTTATCTAGTTATGGTGAAAAAATATTTATAACTGGTGGATGTAAAGGTAACTGTTTCCGGACTATTAGACTTCATATTGCTGGAACATTTCATGATGCCACAGATCAAACCTGGTGTTATTGCCCAGCAAATGATAGTTTCTCATTAGTATCTGCCATGAAGAAGCCAAGGACAATGCATACATCTGTTGTGACTTTAAATAGTTTGTATGTAATAGGAGGGAAGACCAGGGCATCCCAGGATATCAAAAGCCTTTTGGATGTTGAGGCATATAATCCCCTGACTAGAGAGTGGAAATCTATGAGTCCATTACCAAGAGGCATCTACTATCCAGAAGCAAGTGCCTGTCACAGTGTAATATATGTGCTTGGTTCTGAAATTGAAATTACAGATGCCTTTAATCCATCTCTTGATTGCTTCTTTAAATATAATGCTATAACAGATCAGTGGTCTGAGTTAGTAGCAGAATTTGGGCAATTCTTTCATGCAACCTTAATCAAAGCTATTCCAGTGAACTGCACTTTATACATTTGTGATCTTTCCACTTACAAAGTTTATAGCTTTTGTCCGGAAACCTGTGTCTGGAAAGGAGAAGGCTCTTTTGAATGTGCTGGTTTTAATGCAGGGGCAGTTGGAATAGAAGATAAAATATACATTCTGGGTGGAGATTATGCTCCTGATGAAATAACTGACGAAGTACAGGTCTACCATAGCAGTAGATCTGAATGGGAAGAAGTTGCGCCTATGCCAAAGGCCCTTACAGAGTTTCATTGTCAGGTGATTCAGTTTAATAAATTCAGGGATCCCTGGTTGCAAAAGCAATGTGATACAAACGATTATACATAAGTAATTTATGTGTTTGTTTATTATTTATTATTTGTTTGCTGCCCATCTTAGCCACTATATGATTTTAAGGTAACCAAATATGAGGGTGTCAATCTACCAACCAGATTTCTTCTTTATTTTCTTAGAATGAGGATTGGTAATTGCTTCATAGTTAATGTGTTAAGACACATGTTTTGAGTTTGGATGGCCTGTGTTTAATAATTTATTAAATAAATTATTGAATTTGTATTCATACTGACTTCCAATGATTGAGTACCTTCCTTCCTTCTCTAGATAAGCTCTGCCTAAAAGCTGGCTACTTTTAATATTGAGAACAGTTTCTAAAACAATTTTGTGGGACCAAGAACTGATTTAAAAATTACACCAGACAACTTGTAATTATCCCTCAACTTCTACAAATTTATTTAAAATGGCATCCATAAGCTGAATACATTTCAGATTACTAATTTCAGGAATAAAAAATTATTATGGTATAAATGTGCACATGTATGTGTTTGTGTATGAATGATTCATAGTTTTAATAGTGGGAGAAAAACATTACAATCTAAAACATACAAATTCAAGAGTTGTGTTCTATGTTTCACATAATTGGCTGTTTGCTGTTATGCTTACTTTTCTTTGTGGCTATAAAACTACATTTTTTTCCAAATATGGTCACAATTATTAATATATTTCATGACCCTTTTTTCTATTTTCTGTTTACATTAATAACTTCTGCAGCAGTTTCCTATTGAGTCAACAGTTATAATTTGAAAACTCATCCCAGAGTTTCTAAAATCCCAGAATTTATTCCTAAATAAATTTGCACTTGATTTGAAAGATTTTTCATCTTAAATCTAAAGAAGAAAATTCAGTTGTATTGGTGCAATAGAAGTACTGATTTACTACAAGTTCTTTCCTATTACCACCAAGTTGTTTTTTCAATATAATCATTTCATAATTGTAATTACTGAATTTCAACATATTTTCTTTCATTGCTATCAAATACTATTAAAGTTCCACTAAATCATTGCCATTTATTTCAAATGTTAAATTATGCTTCAATTTATTTTGGGGGAAATGATTGAATTATTGAAATCTATTTTTATTCTAAAAGCTAGGCCATTGTTCCTCAAATTACATAGTCATTATAACATGGACCATGGATTGTCAATTCTCCATGCTGCTTATGTACCGTTCATTCCATGTGCTGAAAATAAGTAGGATTATACCATATGTTGTATAAAAGAGAAATATAATTTGTTCTTGGAGTCTTTATTCTCAAATATGGTCTTGAATAAGTACTGCTGTCCCCAGATGTTCCTGCGAAAACATCTTTCAAGGAATTATGCACAACAAAATAATTTAGGAATTAAGATAGAAATTAAGAATGTGATAATGAGTGTTATATTAGATATAGCTCCCAAGAATTTGGATTTGTTACATAGGTTGTTTATTCTTTTTTCATGACATCAAAAAAGACTGAAATTTTTTTTACCAGCTTTTAAGCAGTAGTCAAATGGTAGTTAAATTATAGCTCAAAAAAGAAAAACAAGATCACAATATATTGTGCGCAAACAATTGGTCTTGATGGCTATGGTATATGTCAATGAATTGCATGAGAATAAATCTTATTTGCACTTATAACCATATTTCAATTATACAATTATTGTACAGTCAATAAAGGTATGGTATGATGCAATGAACATTAGTGTAATGTAGTGCTTCTTATCATCTTGAGCTTTTTTGAGTTATCTACTATAATCAATTCAAATGTAACATTCAAATGTACTGGTAATTATTTTATATATTACTTTATACAAATAATGGCTCCCAACCTTTTGGGCACCAGGGACCGGTTCTGTGGAGAAAAGTTCCTGTGCAGACCAGAGGGGTGTATAATTTTGTGTGCTGCCAGCATCCCACAGATGGGGCTTCATTTGTTTGCATGGTCTGATTTTTGGCATGCCATAGACTACAGACTGCAGGTTGGGAATCCCTGCTTTATACTGCTATAGCAAATTTAACCAGAAAATGAAACAAATGTTGAACCAAAGCCTGTTTTGTAACTAGTATCTGAGCAAATAATATCCTACAAAGCAACATGACAACATGGATTTTATTATTTTAAAAATCTTGAATAACTGATATTTAAAAAGCAAGTATCTATTGTTGGATGTGACATAGCAATTTTTTTGAACAGAAAAATGGTTAATAGTTATAATCTCCATTGAAGTATACTTACAAATTCACTGTAGTTTAATGATTTACAGAAAGATAAATATAGTTTATTGTTAAATTATAAATCAGATTTCACTGATGGGATCTTGATTTAAAGTTAATGTTAATTTACTTTGTGGTGAGTACTAAATACGAGATTGACAGTGGAAAAACAACCAAATTTTGAGGTGTTAATGATTTTTTTGAAGTTGCCAAGGAAGGCAAAACTGAATACATTGGAAAGATACATTTCAAAACTCCTGTGTAAATTGTGTGGAAAAAAAATATCAGTATAATTTTGAAAAATAAGATATGTTTGTCTCAAATTTTTGATATGTTGCATTGAGTACCTGTCTTAAAACAAAATTGATATTTTAGCTCAATATTTGGGGATTTGCGAGATTTAACATTTATCTGGATATTAGTGGAAAAGAGTACTGGAATGTTCATTCATTTCCATAATAAAAACACTAATTATTTGATCCAATATGTCGTACTGAGTTTACACTTGTGTGATAATGAGAAATTGCATCCATATACCTTGCATTATTATTGTAAAGTACATTGTACCAGTGGTCCTCACTTAGCAACCACAGCTGGGACCATCAACTCCATCACTAAGCAACGCAAACATATAGTAGGGAAGGACTACAGTAATGGAGAACATGGAAATGAAATCATAAGTCAACAAATCAGGTGGGTTAACTTGAAGTATGTTGTACCAAATCCTAAAGGTGTTTTTTCAAGAGGCATTTGGACTTTCTTTTTTGAAGACATTTTGCTTCTCATCCAATAAGCTTCTACAGCTCCATTCAATTCAATTCAATCCTTTATCGTCAATGAACAACAATGAGATTGGATTCCCCACTATCTAGTCAGAGCTGAAGAAGCTTCTTAGATGAGAAGTGAAACCTCTTCAAAGAAAAAGTGCTGTTGCCTCTCGAAAAAACACCTCCGGGACATCCATGACTGAAAATCTCCATAGACATTTAGTGCAACAAGTATGTGGTATTTTGGCTCATAAAAGGCTCTAAACCATATTGTTTGTTTGGCCTTAGGGTTTGTGAACCACAGTTTAGAGGTAGCTTGTATCAATTCAGCGGGCGAATACGCGAACAACCGGTTTCCTCAGGGAACACCTCAAACTTCTTCCAAAACAGAAAGGCGGGTAGGCACCGGCGACAAAACGCAAACGACGCCCGGCTTCTGCCTGCCTTTCTCTCTCTCTCTCTCTCTCTCTCCAGCCAATCAGAGCGTCCCCTCTGGATGACACGCATCTCTCGCGCCCAATAAGCCAGTCGCCTGGATGGAGAGGCGTTAAGGGGGACAGTTGGAAAGGAGGCGGGGAGGGGGAAAGCGCTGAGCAAAGTTGCGTGAGTTGAGGGAAAAGAGGCGGGGCCGGAGGGAGGCGGTTGGGGCTTGTAAAAGGGAGCGCGCGAGCTGACGAGCCGGGCGGCTTGGCCCAATCGGCGCGCCGCTTGGACCGGTGAGTGACGGGCGAGCTCGTCAGCGGCAAGGGGGGTGGGTCAAAAGGCCGGCGTTCGAAGGGGGAGCGTTTGCGCGCAGGTGAGGAGCTTTTGCGCTACTGAGGGAGGGTAGAAAGGAAAGGAAGGGGAGGAGCCGCGTCGGCCTGTGGGGAGCGGGGTAGCTGTTGGCTTGGTGTCGAAGTGGCGCCTTCCTTCCCCCCCCCCTCCCGCCGCTTCATCGCCTGTCTTTGCTCGCCGCTGTTTTTCTCCCAGTGGGCTCCCCTTCCCTTCCGACCCCCGACATTCCTGCTAGGGGAGTCGCTTGTTCGTCCGCCGGATGGAGGGAGGCCGGTGCGTGCCCCTTTCCCCGATCACCGCCGTGCGGGATAATGCTCCCTTCCCTCCCATTCTGAAGCGCTTCTACCCGCTCTACTTCAAGAGGGAGGGTAGACGCCTTCGCCCCCCCCCCCCTCGCTCTGCCATTCCCCTCAGACTTATGCTTAAAGGTGGGAAGAACGGGCACAAATTCTGAAGCGGTAGGCTGGACCGTGCCATGTAAGGTGGGGGATGCTGGACAAATGTATTTCTGACCAGATTTATTCTGGTATATTAAGCATTTATATATATATAAAAAAATAGAGTGGCCAAGGGTTATTAAGGCAGAACCAATGTGTGCCTTTTGAGAAAAATAACTAAGGTATTTGCTTGTTATTCATGGTAGCAAAAGGGGCCGAACCAGAAGCTACTCTACCTTTTTGATCTTCCTAAGCCATGGCTTCTCAAATAAGGTGCCCTCATTGCCTTCATAAATGATGGCTTGCGAGTTTTGATGGCTTCTTTCACCAAGCCAAAATTAAATAGCAGACCAAACCTACTGCTGTATGCAACCAATCTTTGGGTTTGGTGGCTTCACTTCTTAATCTCTGTGTTCTGGATTCGTAAGCCTAAAGGGTCTTGCTGGATCCAGTTGTTTGGAATGTGTTGAACATGACTTAGCATTTTATGATTTCAGTGGTAGTCTAAATGGCCAGTTAAGTATATATGAGTCATTTGAACAAGACAATTTCTCTTAAACATCATTTACTGTTCTCTTCATTTCCTAACATAAAATAGTTGTGCTGTTCATTAGAGGGTTTTTTTTGCACAGCAGTGTGATGCTGTGGTCTTTGCTTACCTTTGCATTTATAAGGATTAACATCTGCAAAAAGGTAAAACTACACTACCACTCTCCATTCCGAAAAATAAATCTACTTAAGATTTTAATGTAGGTTTTGATTTCCTGAGCATTCGCAAATAGCCTAAATCCTTTACAATCTAGATTTGTTTTCTAGGCATCTAAATCAAGGCAGTCTGAGATTGAATACAAGATGGATCTAGAAACTACTTTCCCCAAACCATAAGTTCCTCAAGAGATTTATAGTTTTTATTTAGCTTTGTTTTCATAGCTTTATTGAAGACAGAAGAAAAACTGTTAGCATTTTAATAGTGCTCAAGAGCATTAATAGGTTTAAATTATCTGGAGGTTATGATTGGACTTTGCAGTAGGAGAAAAATAGAAAACAACAATGGTAGATAACGTAAAAATGTGTTCAGGAAAAGGAACTTTGAATATATTTACAGAAGATTAAATTCAAAATTAGCTGTTGCTGTGCAAGAAATTATGTAGATAGTGAAGTTGTGGCTAGCTAGCTATTAATCACTGATGCCCATATCAAAGGGGGAGATAGGTTTTTAAAGATTAGCTGTAACAACAGTTTTTCTTCATTTTGATAATGGGGAATACATTGTCAAAAATAGCAATCCACAAATGTTTTGCAATAATAGGTTGAAGCCAAAGTAAGTAGAGTTCATTTTCATTGTGATTGGATACCCAAAATTGGATAACTAAAAAGTTGATGAACTAAAGCAAAGTGTAAACTATACATTTACAATTAAAATATGATGAATGTAGGAATTTTTATATAGACCAAAACTAAGCATCTATTATTTTTCTAAATTACAATCTGTTCTTTAGTTCCAATGTTTTTCATGTTGAGTTAGATATTTTTGGCTAAAGAAGAAAATTGGTGACATTGCTTTTAAGTAACTGGTCTGTATTTGCCAATCCACAGACCATCCTGAGTTCTAGAAGAAAAACCAGTTCTACCTTTTATCTCCTCTTAAGTGAAAAACAATACAAGTATTTAAAAAAGGCTATTGAAATTAATATTAGTTTTATTTCACTTTTATTGTTTTTACAAAAAACTCAAATGTGGCAAACATATCCAACATACATTCCTCCTATTTGCCCACAACAAGCCTGTTGATGAGTTGTGTTGAGAGTGACTGGCCCAAAGTCACCCAACTAGCTTTCATGGCTAAGGTGGGACTAGAACTCACAGTTTGCCACATTGTAGCTTGATGCATTAACCAGCAGATAAACAAGTAGGTTAAACAACTAATACTTCAAAGGACATCTGATGAAATTTAGGTATTGTATCACATGTCCATAGGAAATCTTTACACATAATCATAAGTCTTGAAGTTTTTGTGTCATGCTACACTGATCTTTTTTTCAGTACTTTGAAGTGATGGTAAATGACAGGGCATACTGGTGAAGCGGGAGCAACATCTATGCAAAAGAGGCTGAATTTTTTCTTTGGTCTCTGATTTGTTTTTTCTTTTTAAAACTGGGCTGATTTTATTTAATACCATTATTGGATTGGAAGAAAGGCTTGCCCATATCATCCCAGATACAGTTGTGGGATGAAAAATAGAATTAATTAAAAGTGAACTGCCTAGAGCCGTGATGGCAAACCTATAACACATGTGCCACAGGTGGCACGCAGAGCCATTTGTGCTGGCATAAATGTCATAAGCAGACTTACCTCATTGTGCATGGTGCACCTCACAGCTGGTTTGAGGCCTTTTTCGGCCTCCCAGAGGCTTGATAAAAGCCTTTGCAGGCTTTTGTAATACCGGAAGTGACGAAATGGGCCTATCATTCAGCCTGCAGAGGCTTTTTTCAAGCTTCTTGGAGGCCGAAAAAGGCTTCAAACCAGCCAAGAAATCAGCTGTGGGGTGCAGTGCAGGTAAGGGGCAGGGTGGATTGCGCGTGCATACGCAGGGGGTGTGGGGCGATGGGCATTGCCTTCTGAGTGCTGGCACGAGCACGCACACAATTTTTGGCACAGGAGCCCAAAAAGGTTAGCCACCGCTGGCCTAGAGCAAGTTTTTGTTTTTTTTCAGAATAATTTGGGGACAATAGAAAAGTGGAGGCTTCATTTTCATTGGCTGTGAATCAGGTATTGTGTTATAGAATAGAACTTTATTTAGTTAACATTTTGTATTGATAAACCAAGTATATTTTTTTCCATAAGGAAATAACTATTTATTCTATAAAATATAGTACAGAAAGTCCATTGTTACCTTGCTGTAGTTTATAGATTCTTGGCTTAGAAAAAGATATAAGTTCAGTCTCATGTAGAAAGAATGGAAATTTAATTTTTCAGACTTTAATCATAAGCCCATAATATAAGTAATATAATAATGCTGTCAGAGTAATGTTTCCATAAGTCCTGTTGGTATAATTTCTTGGTTGTTTTGATTCTTGCAGTTAGTATTGTATGATGAAAAGCAAATAAAAAAAATAAGTTTTATGGTGAGTTTTTCAAACATTTCAATAGATGTGAAAATGTTTTATTTTCATATTTAAAAATAGTATATTTTACTAACATCTTTTATAAGTAAAATGAGAAAATGGGTGTATGTCTCATTCTCTTTTTTCCTTCAAGTGCTTCCAGAATGGGTACGCACTTAGGCCAAGAGTGTCAAACTCAAGGCCCCAGGGGCCAGTTTTGGCCCACAGGGTGCTTAGATCTGGCCTACAGGGCCACCCTGGAAAGAGTGGTCCAGTACACTGTGCCTCTTCCAGTGAAAACAGAGCTTGGGAGAGCTGTGGGCGGCCCTCCCGACCTCCGTGTTCACTAGCAGAGGGTTGCAGGAGGCCATCACAGCTGAAAACAGCTCACTTTGCTGGCAGAGTGCTTGGGCCACTACAAGTGCCCTCGACATGAGTTACGTCGAGCTAACCATGCCCGCCGTGGTCATGCCCCCCCCGCCCTCCTGAGGTCAAACATAACCCTAATGCAGCCCTCAGTGAAATCGAGTTTGACACCGTTGACTTAGGCAGTCGAATATGGTGCCACACAAATGGGATTTTAACCAATCTATTTTAGATTTATATTTTAGACCAGTATATTGTCCCATATGCTATTTCAAAGTGGAATGAAAGAACTTTAAAAACTTCAGAATCAGGCCAACAAACTATCGTTCTGGTGTACATTGCTTTAAGTCTAACAATTGCAAGTGGTTCTTTTTTTCTTTTAGTTTCCTGTTTCACTGATCAGACTTTGGCAGAAGCTTTTTTTTTTTAATAAAAGTTTTATTTAAGTTTTCACAAAACATACAAATACAAATAAAATATCTTTTTTTGAGAACAGCATGGCCCTGGGTTATCACTTCTCCATACAGACATAAACTCAATACGTATTTATCTTACACATTCTAATCCATATCTTATAACTATTTTCTCAATTTTTTCAATAGCTTTTCCCTTTCTTTATTTCCTATAGCCTTATTTTAATTATCTCATTCCTTTCTTATTCAATTCAATTCAATTCCATATCTTTTTCTAGTTTTTAAAATCTTTCTAATCAATGTTTTTATACTTTCGTCTGTCCTGTTTACAATGTCATATTATCTTTTCTCATAAAACAGATTTTCCCCTGTAATTACTAGACTGGAGTGTAACACCTTTGTATCTTTTTTCAAATCTTGCTTAAAAATTTAAGTTACACCTTTACAGTTATAACATTCATTTTTTTAACCTCTATTTTATAACACAGACCTATTTTCAATCAAATTCTGCTTGGTACATTCCCTTAAAAATACACACTAAATTCTTAAAAGAAAAAAAGTATATATATCTGTGTATATATGTATAACAATAGTAAATGGAATAATTAATCTATTCAAGTACAGCTCTGTCATTAATATTAATAACAATCTTTTACATTTCTATTTCTTTTAACAAACATTACCTAGTAATATCAGTTGTCTTTCACTTTAATCTATATTTCATATTTTACTTATTACTGTCTTTAAATAAAAAACAAAACAGTTATTAACAGTAGTCAATAAAATTATTATTCTTATTCAAATTCATCTTGTCAGCTGATAAAAATCTTCCATGTTTCTTTTCAGTTGTTTTAAACTTTCACTGAGAGCCTTATTCTCTTTACAAACAAATATTCCATTACACATCAATACAATTTTTTCTTATCACTTTGATCATCTAAACATATTTTCTAACCCTTTTCTATTTCTAATATAACAATGCTATCCAATGTAGCCTTGGAGAATCCTTTCCTTAAGTTAAATTTTAACCATTGTCTCTGTGTCTTTTAAATAGGTTTATACCTTTAAGTCTTGTATGCTTTTCCTGTACCTTTATATCTTGTTTCTGTCCTTTGTAGCTTCTTTTCCTTTCCTTCTTCCCTCTCTTCTTCTCCCTCTCCTTTTAATTCCCTTTTTTATCTGATTCTCCCTTCTGTGATCCTCCCTTCTGCTTCTTCTTGATATTATGATTGCTTTTCAAATTACTCTTTTGGGGGGTTGTTGCTTCAATGCTTAAATTTTTAACTCCCTTTCCCCCCTTTCCCTTTTTTACCCCACTTAAAGTTGCTTGGTCATTAAAGATGGCTTCTTCTTTATCCCGCCCTTCTTGTTCTGCCAGCGTTTATTGTTGTTTTTCATAGTTCAAAATCTCCATTTCTAAAAATTGAAATTCAAAGCCAAAAGATCCTCTTCCCTCTTGTGCTTCTTCTTTTTGTTCTTTAAGTCTCATTTTTAACTCTTCAAGGTGATGCCATTTAAAAAAAAATTTAAACAACCCCCAATTGATTTTATTTTGTTTCATTAGGATCCACCATCCAAAATTCCAGGAATCATCCAATAATCCAAAGCTGTTTCTTGTTCCTTTTCTCACTTTCTTTTTCCAGAGGCTTTATTGTCTTGTAACAAAGTTTCAGCTACAATGTATCTTTTGCAAGCCTTGTTAAAATTCCACTATCAATTTTTTTAAGTTCCAGGTGGTCTCCATTTTCCAGATTCCACCCTCTTGTTTCCTTTTTCCCTCCTCTGCTTTCTTTCTTTTTACTTAAGAAAAATTTTAAATTATCCAAGAATCTTTATCCCTTTGACACTTTATTTTCAGCTAGAAATACCCTATTAATGTCAAAGTGGATTAATTTCAATTTCTTATTCAAATCTCTTCTTAACGTTCCAAGTCAATTAAAACTGTCAATGTGAGAAGAAGAAAAGCCAATTCTGTTTCCTTTCTCTTTCTTTTTCGCTGCTTAAGATCTTTTTTAGGAATAATATTAGTCTTTAAAGTTCAGGTTCCAGGTACCTGAAATAGATGTTCTCCACCGGTCAGTCAAGCTTTCTCCTTTAAACTTTCTCCTGCACAATCTTGTCTGGTCGGGTTCTTCTTTGAGGTGGCCATTTCTGACCACCACTGCAAGTGCCTTTGGGAAAGGGAGTAATGGCCAGCCGAGGAGAGATGACTGCTCCCCCTTCTTCACCACCTCTATAGGGTGGCTTCAGCCCCGAATCCAGGCGGCTCGGGGCGCTCCAGCGGCAAGCACGGATCAAAACTGCGCACGATCGCAGATTTTGGTCCATCGCTGAAGAAGCCTGAATCGGAAGTCCTTTGGCAGAGGCTAAAAATCGACAAGATGGTTTTCTTCCATTTTAGACAAAAGTACTTTAGCAAATTTAGAAGAAAAGAGAAATCCCATGTGTATAATATGGCTTGCTCCCTTTGTGCTAATTCATCCTCTACCCAATGTAACATCTGGAGAATCAAAGAGTTTCCAATGATGACCTTTTCCTGAGTAATGTTCATTATAATGCTTCTCAGAAGCCCAGAATGAAAACAATTGTTTTCTTTCCATTATCCATATTAAACTTACATATTAAAAATGTTCATAATCCCTTTTTTCAAACAGTAAATCAAAGGACATAGCAGCATAGTTTTATGTAAGAAAACTGCAGGTTTTAAACTCTGATTTACATATGTCTTCTTTAAAAAAAACTGTTCTAGTTTGCATAGTTAGAAGAAGTGCCCATTTGTGCTTTTTTTTTTCCTGCTTTGCTTATGTATTTGTGTTCAATCCTGAAACATGTAACTTGTTCTTATACCACCCAATCTATTACTATATTTTTGTTCTTTTGCTAAGAAAATTTAAATTTTCAAACATTATGTTATATTTAAAACGTGCAGTCTTAGTTTTTAAAAAAGAAGCTGCTAACGGAAGAACTCACAGTGTCAAGACGAGGGATAATATGCTAACATAAAACAAGTGCTTGTCAAAACTATTGAAATAACAGCTAAATATCTACTATCTTGGAATGATAAGGCAAAAGTGTAGTGTTTAAACCCCAGAGCACAGTTCTATAAATAGGTTATCTGCATGCAGAGAGCATATGGCTTCATTCTGGTTTACAATAAAGAGACGGTTTTACCCAAGCTGTGTCTGAGACTCTTCCACCAAGTAAACTGATTTCTAAATAAGGTGGTTAAATGTCAAGAGAGTTGAAGTGTATTGCCAAGCGTGGTGTAAAAAAGTGATCTTTCAGGTCCATTTATTGTAGTCTTAAGGTTATGATGCTAAAATTTATCAGAACTAAATAATGAAACCCAGTGAAGCTTTTTGTAAGAAAAAAAAATCAAGATAGTTTATTCCACCTTGGTATTCTTATATATTGGAAAACATTCTCAAATCCAAAGCAGGGCCCAAACAGCATTTTTAGTGGCCCAGAAGATTAAATAAAATTGTCTATGGATTGAAAAGGTTGATTGCCCCTGATTTTAAAAAGTTGTTTCTTTTCAGAACAGAAAAATACTATTGTTACTTCAAAAGTATAATTGGACTTATTTGCTGATTGAAATTCTTCCTAACATGGATTTGATATCTTATGGTTATAGTATTCTATGTTTGCTTAAGAGATTCTGAAAAGCTACATTATTGAAGTCATATTAACATATACAATAAGCAATAAATTATTTTTTCCAATAAATTTGCCTTCATAAATTAATGAACAAATTCTGTTTAAAATCAGGTAGTCAGATCATTTCCAGAATTTTGTGAATTCAGTTTTATTGAAGCTGTTCTGGAAATAGTAAAATGTTGTTTGGTTATTAAAATTATCAATATTAAACTACAAAATTAGAACTTTAAATTCTTAATTATGTTTGCCAGTAAAGTTTTAAGGAAGCATCTGATGTTGCAGAAAATATTTTTGTTCTGAAGTTTGCTAATGAATGCTTCATGCTTCTAAAAATGTTTTTGTTTTGGTCTTTCAGGGAAAGTATGCCATATAAAATTAATTATTGGCATTATATACTCTTTTTAAAATACATTTTTCCAATAAATTAAGATCTCTCTTAATTCCTAACAATTATTTAATGGTTTTGATTTTTGAATCTAAATTATTTGGATTAAATGTATTACCTGTGTAGTTCAACATTTAAATTGATTCCTGCTACTCATATTTGAAGGGAGAAATCTAAAAGTTGAAAGAAAAAAATGTTTTTATAGTATGCTTATAGAATTCCAGGATGATTAAGTATTAATCCCTTTACTACAGAAAGAAATACGTTGAAAGCTGGAAAAGATGAAACAACTGAAAAGGAAAAGGAAAAGCAATTTCAGTGTTCAGGAGACCCAAACTTTACTTAAAGAAATCCGAAAAAGAAGAGAGGTGCTTTTTTCCAAACAGCTAAATACAACTATTAACGAGATGAAGCGGAAGGCTTGGGAAGAAATTGCAGAATGTGTGAATGCTGTAGGTGAAGGAGAACAAAGGACTGGGACAGAAGTCAAAAGGCGATACCTGGACTGGAGGGCCCTTATGAAACGAAAGCGACTAAATACTAACATAAAGTTGGTTGGAGCTGGCTTTCATCTTCCTTCATCTGATCTGGATGATTCTCTCAATGAAGATATTGATGAGAAAATAGGTTTTCCAAATGAATCTAATTTTGAATGGCAAAATATCACAGATTTCAGAGAAGCAGGGGGATCATTAACTGAAGTAAAAGTAGAAGAAGAGGAGGAAGATCCACAAAGTTTTGAAGTAAGTAATTCTTCTATAGTACATCTTAAAAACCTGGCATTTTAACTAGTGTGTAGACTTTTTTATATCCTCTATAAGTACAATTTATCTGGTTTGTTTAATGTGAAAGCTATATTAATTATTCTGTTTGTGTAAAAAGTTTGACAGGATGTATAAAATGATATTAATATTTATTATATGGTTATGGACCTTTTATGTTCACAAATTCATCAAATCCTTAGCTCATGAATATTTGACTAAAAGCAAAATAAAACGTCTGGGGTGCATTTTTTTAACTAAAAGAAGCTACTGTAAGTCCAATTGCTTATAATCTTATTTGACCATAAGCCTCACTAATTCTTTTTTTTTTTTAATGCAAACAGCCACCCCTCCCAGTGAGTCAATAGGAAAGAATATGCTCTTGTCCGAACAAGAGCCATTTTGATCTAGTGACAAGACCCCAGGCTAAAAACCAGGAGACTGAGTTCTAGTCCTGCTTTAGTCTTGAAAGTTGGCTGGGTGATTGGATCAATCATGCACTCTCAGCCAAGATGTCTGGCTTGGGTGACAAATCAGTCGATTAATTCCTGTCAGAACCAATGGATCACTCAGTTGATATGGGAAAGAAAGGAAGCAGATCCTGTCCTAGTGTGAAAAGCATTTAGGAGGAAAAATGCTACTATACAAGCAAACAATATGTCTTCCACATATGTTTTTAAGTTTTAAAATTGCTTGTTTTACATAATAGATTGTTAATACTATTGCAAACAGAATTGAAAAATGGAGGATGTGCTCTAATTATACATGCATAAACATGTGAAATATCTTAAACTTTTAATAGTACCGCTAAATCTTTGTATTTATTATAATAAAATTTTCAAGGAAGAAGCCAAATTAACCTGAATTTATCTTAATCCTCTCTGCCTCTAAATTCATTAGAGTATTTTCATCATAAGATGCTGAGCTGACAATTTTTTGGATATTTCTTTTGTGAATCAATCAGCTGTTTTATTTGCAGGAGAGCTATCATGATCCTAGAACAGGGGTGTCAAACTTGCATTGTCATGTGATGTATCACGACTTTTTCCCCCTTCGCTAAACTGGGGTGGGGGTGGCCAGCATATGACACATCCAGCCAGTGGGCTGCCAGTTTGACACCCCTCATCTAGAATGTGTGTTCATTGGATGACCATGTTTTCTGAAAACTTAGCACGTTTTTTTCTTTGTTTATTACAATGTTTTCTAGTGTGATTTTTCAATATTCTTTCAGTGTGTGATCCAGCTTTTCATAACGTTAATGGTGAGTTTGTCGGTGGTACAAATTGCCAATTTCATAGATACTTTGACTCTGTTGCCTTATAAGTTGTTTGAATTTTATCCCTTTGTTTGGTCTGTATCAAAACTTTTGGTTAATTGGAAAGTGATTAGGTCCTCAGTACGTACCTGTTTCAGCATGTGTTTTCCTTATGTGAGCAACACCAAATCTGTATAAACAACTATGAAATCTCTTAAGTAGAGGGATTCCTTATTACAGCATCTATTACTTTCCTGCGTTCCAAGTGAATAATTGCTGAATAAATGTATAATTCACTTGACTCTCTTTATAAAAAGTCCTCTTTTGAAAATTTCTTAAAGCTGCCTAATTGATGTAGACATATCTAGGATTGAACTGTCAGAATGTATTTACCTTATTTTTAATAGGACATTTCATTCATCAAATTTTATTGCTTGGTGTAGTGTTCTGACCGGGATAGGCTTGGCCTATGGCTTGGCCTCTGCTAAACAAATGACTACAGAGTGTATACAGTGATGTGGTGATGTTAACAGAGGAGGCAGGGCTGAATAGGTTATGTATTTTTGTTTACAAGGTGTTATGCGGCACAGGTAGTTAATACTTTTAGAGCAACATCTTTTGATGCCTACTTTCTGCTCTTGATTATATCAATACTTCTTCCATGTTAACAGAGAAAATATTTGTGGCTGTAAGTGGGGAATTGTAGATCTACTTTATTTAGAGAGAGATATATATATCTGCTTAGCTTCATACACTAAAATTTCTAATTAATTTCCTTAGTTTCCTATTGAGGAAGAAGAGGAGATTTTGTCTTCAGTTTTACCAGATTCCAAAAAGGAAAGTGATCTTCCTGATTTCACCCATATTGAAGAATTTGGAAATCTAAGTTCTGCTCAAGCTAGGCTGGCTTATGAAGATTCCCACTTGCTGATTAGCTTAGAGAAGCAGAAGCTAGAGCTGGAAAAACAACGCCTGGATATTGAAGCGGAACGATTACAAGTGGAGAAGGAGCGTCTGCAGATTGAAAAAGAGCGGTTGAGGCACATTGATCTGGAACATGAGAGGCTTCAGCTGGAAAAAGAGCGGTTACAAATTGAGCGGGAGAAACTGAGGCTTGAAGCTCAGCATGGTGAAAAACCTATCTTGGAGAATGATCCAAACCAGGCAGAAAAGCCTGTCTTACAACCTTTGGATTTAGAAACAGAAAAACTGAAAATTGAGAAAGAGCGTTTGCAGCTTGAGAAGGAGAGGCTGCAATTCCTGAAGTTTGAATCAGAAAAGCTGCAAATTGAAAAAGAACGCTTGCAAGTAGAGAAAGAGCGGCTTCGAATTCAGAGAGAAGGACATTTGCAGTGAACTTGGAGGAAATCATTACCAATGTGATGTTTTGTTGTTTGTACTTTAAAAAAAAAATCAGAATTGTACTTTTGTTTTATTAAAAGTGTTGGATAGTCTGGTCTTCAAAGCATTTCACTACTAATGTTATCACTTTGCTACTGTGGTAATTACACTTTGAGAATACATTTGTTTTGGCCATAATTGAGCATTAATGTATTCATTTTTAAAAAAAGCTGGGAATTGGTGCTCAGTAAGTTGTTGTGCCTGTATAAATAGAATCTATTTGTGAAATTACATTTTGGTGAAACAGAAGAAGTGTCAATATCCTCTTGTATTCTCTGTTGTGAAACTTTACATCCACATTAAGAATCAAGGCTTGGCTGTGTCTTGTCATTTTGAGAGGGTTATTCTGAATCCCTAGGAACCTTTAATGTAAATTTGTGTCTGAGCTGAAGAAGTAACTTTGAAATAGGCCTTGCACAATAAAGTTAACCTCAAAAGTTATGCCTTTAATGTAAGGCATGTTCTTAAGAGAAATTAAGGCCAGAGATTAAAGCTCTTAGTGTTTTTGTTCTCAGTATATTTGTAAAAAAGAGAGAAAAAAGTTTCAAGTGTAATATAAGAGATTTCACTTTTATGTCTAAGCTTGACCAAATTTACAGCTTCGGTATATAATTTTGGAAGCCAGTTTGATATTCAAGTATTTGAGTTGGAATATATTTCTTGGGATTTACATAGATTATTTGGATTTATCAGTTTATTTACATCCCTATGTAATTATTCTTATTTTGCAAATAAAATGTTATTTTATTATTGAAAGAAGTGTGGTTTCATAGTGTGAAATAAAATTGTCTGATGTTGATTAATATATTCCCTGTAAACAATTTTTTAAAAAAATAAAGAATGAACACTCTGAATCTTACTCAATTGTACAAAAAATAATCTGCCTGATTTTAGTAATACGGAGAATGTGGATAGCCTACTTCACTCTAAATTCAAAATTCAAGTGAGACTCACGTGGTCCTAGAATTTTGTTGGGAGAAAGATTGGAACTGAGTTAGCATAACACAGATTCATCAGCCAAACATATCACACGGATTCATTTCACTCTATATAAATAGTGTGCACTTTAAGAACAATGAAATGTAGATAATATTCCTTTCTGCAAGATTTTTAGTTATTTTTTTGTTGATTCTTTTCAGGAGCTGAATTTCTCAACAATAAAAATATGGAAAACAACGTCTATATAAACAGATGCAAGTTACTTTTGTTTCAGCAACTGAATTATAATACAGGTGAATGAGGGGGATTAGGCATGAGAGAATTTGTAGCTTTGAAAGTACCATCAAATTGACCTTACCTAATTCACACAGTATTTATTACAAATACTTCTACCTTGCCACAAAGAAAATAACTCTGTCTTACAGTACATATAAAAAGTATGACTGCAATTGGAACACCATCCAAAGTTGGACAAAGGCTCTCATCTAGCTTAGCTTCTTCCAGCTTGTCGAGCAGGAAACATGAGTTCAGAGGCTCCAGTCCTTGAGTAGATGTGGGTTAAAACTAGAGGGAAAAAATAGGCAATGGGAAGTGAGGATTCTGCAGTTTATTGACATATCAAGATATTTTTCAGAGGCTGCATCAAAGGAAATTTTTGAGTTAATTTATATAATGTAGTAAATATCTTGTACTAGTCATCCTTAAAGTCTAAACTCCCTCAAATTATGCTTTGATTTCTAAAAGTGTAACACAATTCTTTATTGTTAATCATGCAAAACTACATTAAACTCTTTGTTATTTTCACCCTCTGATATAATAAGGTGGTTTGATAATTTTCACCATATCCTTGGACATTTGAAGCTTTTACGACAAATTCCATTATGACCGGTAGTTTATGACCACAAGTCCAAATTTCTGTCACTCAGAGGGACAGATGTTCAGTGACTTTTGCCCCATTTTATGACCTTTCCCCCCAAAATGTGTTAAGTGAATCACTACTCTTAGCAACATGGTTTGAAGTGAATCTGGCTTCCTCATTGGCTTTGCTTGTCAGAAGGTTTCAAAACATGATCATGTAAACCATAGGACATGAAAATCTTCATAAATATGAGCCAGTTGCCAAGCATTCAAATTTTGATCACATGATCAGGGGGAATGCTGCAACAGTCATAAGTTTGAAAATTGGTCATAGGTCACCTTTTTTCAGCACTGTTGTAACTTTGAGAAGGCTTTTCCTAACGAAATACTTCCTCCTGAAATAGCATTTCCAGTTTTCCCTTTTAATGTTTGAATGTTGACATTTGATGCATAAGATGTACTGCGTACAGTCTAAATTAAATGATTAATCCAAAAAAAGACATTGGCAGCCACACAGTATCTTAATTCAACAAGCCTCTCTACTTAAAGCACAACATGCAGAACTATGGAATTAAGAAAGAGGCATGTCAGTCTGTCCCTAGGGTTTAAATTCTGTATCTTTTCCTCTGGGTCAATAATTTGTCCCCGATACAAAAGATAGTCAAAAAATAGTGGTTTTATTTATTTAAACAATTTATTTGCCACCCATCCAGGGATGGGATTCTACCAGTTCCCACCTATTCACTAGAACCAGTTGTTAACATTCTAAGCAGTTCAGAGAACCGGTTATTAGAAGAAATTACTGGCCTAATCCTGTAAGGAAGGCAGGAAGGAAACATTCTGGTGTTGCTTACAGAAACTGCCTCTCCATTAACCCTTATTACATTCTTGGCAGGACTAGATTTCCTGTCTCAGGAACTTCTCTTGAGTTTTTTCCCCTTCCTTTGCTGGTACTTTGCTTGTGTGGAGTGACCATTCAAAGTTACAATGGCACTGAAAAAAGCGACTTATGACTGTTTTTCACACTTACGACTGTCGAAGCATCTCCACAATCACGAGAGGCCAGGCGAGGAGATGCGTGCCTCGATGTGAGTGATATTGAGTTGGCCAAGCCCACCAACTAAGCCATGCCCACAGAACCGGTTGTTAAAAAATTTGAATCCCACCCCTGCACCCATCTCATGACAAATGATTCTGGGTTGCTTACACCATAGAAATATTGAAAAACATTAAAATCATCTGTTGTAACCCCCCCCCCTAAAAAAAAAGATGAAATAAATAAAATCATGGAAACAAGATGGCAAAGAAGGAAGCCAAACACACAGGGATGGCAGGGAGAATTGAATTGAATTAACCAACCACCTCCAGTAGGAAACTTTCCCATTGGGTCTCCAAGCCATCTGCCACAGCCATGTCTTAAAGGTCTTATGAAAAGTCAGGAGGGTAAGATGTTCCAGAGAGCAGGAACCCCAGGAGAAAAAGTCTCTTCTGGAACAGACGCCAGCCCAAATTTCTTGATAAGATCTGCAGTGTGCTCCCCTTTCAGTGTCTGTGGGGTGGACCAGTCCCATTGAGGGGAGACAGTTCCTCAAGTAGACTGGACCCATGCCAAGAGGGCTTTAAAGGTAATGACCAACACCTTGACCCGGAAGCAGATTGGCAACCATTTATCTTAGGTCCCTTTGTTGAAAAGAAGCCATATTTTATTTTCCAGTGGAGGGGGGAAAAAACCCTTGCTGCTTATCTGTGGAATAAGAAAATGTTAACAAATAGCATGGGTATCTTAGTCCTATTAAAACTGGATTTCAAAAATCCAGATGACAACAAAAGTACTGGTGAGAATCCTTACAGAAAATATTATGGAATTTACAGAAAACATTGCTGTGGACAAGGAAAGGCATGTTAGCAATAGACTTTATTTTACGTTTATATTATTCATCAACATTTCATTGATTTTTTTTATCCTACCTTTATTAATTTTATTAATAATTTACGGGAGTGAACACTCCTTCCTGTTTTCCCCAAAACAATCCTGTGAGGTTAGTTGGGCTGAGAAAGAGTGACTGGCCCCAGGTCACACAGCTGGCTTTCATGCCTAAGGCATGAAAAGGAAGAACTCACAGATTCCTGGTTTCTAACATGGTACCTTAACCATAGACCACAGTGACTATAATATATGAATTTTTATCATTTATCATGCAATTTTCCATTGCTTGAGTGGCATTCTGTTCCAATGCTCCTGGAACTGTATGCTTGCATTTGCAGTTGCAAATTTGTGCAGATTGCACATGTATTGGTTTGCTTACTTATCGTTATACGCCATCCACTGGCCAGAGTCAAAGAATAGAGATAACATTTCTACTAATTTTGGCAGCAGAGAACAGTTTGTGCAGCATGTATACCAAAATATGTGTTTGGAAAATTGGCACAGCAGGTCCATTTTGAAAGAAAACTGAATGTATTGAAAATGTCCCTACAATTATGATTATTCTAGAATCTATTGGCATGCTCTAGGAATTAGTACAAACATATACTTCTTAAAAAGCTGGAAAATACGTAATTCCAATACAACAATTGGTATTGAGAGATCAGCTGTGATATTGATGCCAGTATAAAAGATGAAAACAGATAACAATTATTGTTCCTTATAGTTCTCATTCACTGAACATGCTAGTCAATGATTATGCATCAACTTCCAAAGAAATTAGTTAATGTTTTAATGTAACTCAAAGCAACTCTCTATTTTTCTCTGCATTGACTCATCCAGTGATGGCAAATTTTGAAGTATCCTCTCTGATTTTGAAATTGCAACATGGCACACAATAGGAATGTCAGGTGGAGAAGATAAACCTAGCAAACACAAATTACGAAGGCAACTGATGCTGCAGTTGTGATAAAGGCAAATGTTTTGATGGGAACTTTTCCCAGAATAGCTAGTGGCTGAGAGAAATGAAATCACTAGGAGTACTGTTAACTTCAAATTTTTGTTTGGCTTAATGGTCTTGCATGATGTGCGGTTTAAAATAAATAAGAGACTCATTACTTTGTCCTTGATATATCTGGAGGAGTGGAACAAATGGACAAATTTCCTAACCTAGAATTATAAAGAAGCATGATACAAGAATACTATAGGGGGCTGTATTCTGTGTGAGCCTGCTTAGAATTGATTGTAAGAACAATGAATCAGCTCTAATATTAATTCATATGAAAAAATGTACTACACTCTATTATATATATAGTTTCTATCAGGTGAGAGCAAAATTTAACTGTTATATCACAGGATAGAAGCAGGATAGTAAGCCACCGGAGTTACCTTGAGGTAACTTGGATGGCCTATAAATGTTAGAAATAAATACTTTCT